GGGAAAGTACAGGCAAATAAATAGATCAACTTTAAGATTTGTTATCGAGTACTAAATTAATATTTTGCTGATCCCTGATTATCCTCTTGCTTTTGGGCAACATAGCTTTATTTATCAGCTTATTTTGTTTTAAGGGAGTATGGGACTTTCGGGTCCTGATTTCAGAGTAATTAAAACTCTAAAACACATACATAGATTTAAAGAAGAACATTTACTTATTTCACTAAAAAACATAAGAAAAGGTTCTAGTGAGTAAATCTAAAAATAGCACACGCTAAAATAAGGGGGGTAACTCTGTATGATAAAGTGATATTTTTATAAGCATTTTTTTTTTATTTGAGAACAACAATAAAAACCTCAGAATAACTTCTTTTTTATATAGATGTCATCTACAATATTGAAATTTTAATTTCAAAACAAAAAACGGCAGGAAGAAAAACAAAAAGACAAATTTATTTTGACTCATTTATATCATGATAATTTCTTGGGGAAATGGGTTCTTGTAAATGTACAATGTATTTTTAAATAATTAACGAATAATTAAAAGTTAGATTTTTTATGCTTTATTTGCATTGATTTGCTTGCTTTACAAATTGCTAAATTAAAAATATAATGTTAGTGTTTATTTTTTAAAATAATGTTATCCCGAATTTCCTCGACCCGAATTTCCTCTGATCGCAAGTGTTATAAGTGTAAAAATAATCAGCTTGAAATTTATAACCTTGCTTATATTTTAAAGATCACCCTATTTTGTTGTTTTACACCCTAATTTTCAATTTCTTTTTTGTGCCACTGCAGATAATGCCTTTTACAAGATTTTCGCAGAACAATCCGAAAATCTGATAATTTCCTGATTTGGTTTGTGCATTATAGGACGCATGTTTCCTGTTGCAACTCAAGCATGAACGCTAAGTTTACTAAGTAAGAAAAAAACAGCACCGATTCAAGGTACGCCTATTAGTATTAGCGGCCTAAGCAGCTGTTACTGTAAGCAATATTAGCAATGATTATACAGAGTACGTTTCGTGCACTGACTCAGCAGCTGTTCAGATCAGAAACCTTCTATGTCAGTATCTGACTACGTGTTTTATATATTAAATGACTAATATATCTCTGCATGCTTTCAATATTTGCAATCTCCAGCAGTATTTGATTCAGTAACCAGTCAGCTACATGTAGCCCCATATACCCTGTTGAAGCTAGGGATAAACTGGGACACCATCACAATATAAACTATATATTTACTTTTCAACTCATGTGTTCGATAAAGTTTAATAAAAAAGGGATAAATTTATATAAAAGAACTAATGCCTTAAAGTACCAAAATATTAGTCCTGTCACCAAAAAAGATGAAACAAAAATGCTGTAAGGTTTTCAAAAATGTTTATTTTTTTCACCAGATCTTTTCTAGTTTTCTTAATACAGTCATCAATGGTTCTGCCACCGATAAAACACTCACACAGGCGAACATGAAAATTGAAAAATATAATAGTCTACATGTAACATAATTTTTTAGAATTATTATAGTGTATATGTGGAGCATAGAAGTATTAGTCTACATGTGGAGCGGCCCAATTTCCACCCCCGATATAACACTCACACAGTAGAACATGTAATTTGAAAAATATTGTAGTCTGCATGTAACATAATTTTTTTTAGAAGTATAATAGTCTATATGTGGAGCGGCCCAATTTCCGCCCCCGATATAACACTCACACAGGAAAACATGAAAATTGAAAAATTTAATAGTCTACATGTAACATAATTTTTTTTTTAGAGGCATTAGAGTCTACATGTGCTACATGTAACATATTTTTTTTAGAAGTATTATAGTGTATATGTGGAGCGGCCCAGTTTCCGCCCCCGAAATAACACTTGCACAGGAGAACATGAAAATTGAAAAATATAATAGTCTACATGTAACATAATTTTTTTTTTAGAAGTATTATAGTCTACATGTGGAGCGGCCCAGTTTCCACCTCCGAAATAACACTCACACAGAAGAACATGAAAATTGAAAAATATAATAGTCTACATGTAACAACTTTTTTTTTAGAAGTATAATCGTCAACATGTGGAGCGGCCATATTTTCACCCCCGATATAACACTCACACAGGAGAACATAAAAATTGAAAAATATTGTAGTCTGCAAATAACAGGAAATTTCAAATATATAGTAGTCTACATGTGGAGCGGCCCAGTTTCCGCCCCCGAAATAACACTCACACAGGAGAACATGAAATTTGAAATATGTATTAGTCTACAAGTAACATAACTTTTTTTTAGAAGTATTATAGTCTACATGTGGAGCGGCCCAGTTTCCGCCCCCGATATAACATTCACACAGGAGAACATAAAAATTGAAAAATATAATAGTCTACATGTAACATGATTTTTTTTTTAGAAGTATTATAGTCTACATGTGGAGCGGCCCAATTTCCGCCCCCGATATAACACTCACACAACAGAACATGAAAATTGAAAAATATAATAGTCTACCTGTAACATAATTTTTTTTTTAGAAGTATTATAGTCTACATGTGGAGCGGCCCAATTTCCGCCCCCGATAAAACACTCACACAGGAGAACATGAAAATTGAAAAATATAATAGTCTACCTGTAACATGATTTTTTTTTAAGAAGTATTTTAGTCTACATGTGGAGCGGCCCAATTTCCGCCCCCGATAAAACACTCACACAGGAGAACATGAAATATGAAAAAATATAATAGTCCACATGTAACATAGTTTTTTTTAGAATTATTATAGTGTATATGTGGAGTGGCCCAGTTTCCACCCCCGAAATAACACTTGCACAGGAGAACATGAAAATTGAAAAATATAATAGTCTACATGTAACACAATTTTTTTTAGAAGTATTATAGTCTACATGTGGAGCGGCCCAGTTTCCGCCCCCGATATAACACTCACACAGGAGAACATGAAAATTGAAAAATATTGTAGTCTGCAAATAACAGGAAATTTCAAAAATATAGTAGTCTACATGTGGAGCGGCCCAGTTTCCACCCCCGAAATAACACTCGCACAGGAGAACATGAAATTTTAACCCTGACCTAGCCTGGATAAATGACAACATTTACTAAACTTCTGGAGTTTTTAAACTTTCAAAAAAATCACAAATCGAGTCCAAATTAAAAACGCCCCAAGATAATGCAATTTAACATATTTGATCTCTCAAATAAAATATATGGAGATAACGAGAACAGTATTCAAGCTCAAAAGTCCATTAAACAATACAAATTTTGGAGCAGAGCAAACACAGACCTCTAAAACATCAGAGGTGGGATCAGGTGCCATGGAGGAGTGAGCATCCCCTGCCGACCGGTCACACCTGCCGTGTGCTCCTTGTCATGATCGGGAAATAGCGGAAAAATCCGAAGACAATTCAGTGTGCAAACATTGGCCTAACAATTAGTATGAAAAACGTCAGTTACCATTTGACTTAATGATAAATTTTATTTGCCGACGAGGTCATTGTATCGACCATAGAACTTAAGAAATGATGACTTTAAACGAGACTGCTGATATTCTTGTTTCATCAAATTGTTTGTCAATAATTTACCTCGTTTTAGAAATTGTTCATACGTAGAGCATGTTCTTGCGTATCGAATCAACTGAGAGATATAAACACCGTATGCAGGTGAAGAAGGTATATTGCTGCATAAGTAAGGGAAGTTGACGATTGAAAAGTTAAAGTCATCACGTTTGTCATAAAGCTTGGTTGTTAGATTTCCATTAACATCTGTTTCTAGTAAAATATCCAATTATGAAACAGATGTGTCAGACTCTGTGGTATCTTTTATTTCAAGCTCAGCGGGATATATCGTATCAACATAAGAATGGAAATAACCATTTTTAATTGACAATACGTCGTCGAAATATCTAAAGGTCGAGTTGAAGGCCACAGCAAGTGTTTTCTTCTTTTCACGTACATGCATGAGATTTTGAACACAAAAATAGGTCTGCTGATAACGGGGCGCAATTGATACCCATGGGAATTCCAAAGATTGTTGGAAGACCTGGGAAGATATTGTCAATCAAGGAATTCAAGCATCTTTTTAATATCAACTTCAGAGTACTTGTGTGTGCAATCAGAATGTTTTTAACAAAATAATTTTGCAAATGACCAATGACAAGGTAAGTAAATTTACGAGTTCCATTTTTATTGAAAAAGCAGCTGTCAATGATATCAAAAAGCCTGGACTTTAATTTATCGTGGGTAATGGTTCGTAAGTTCTTATGTTATTGATTTTGGTAAAATTTTGTGATTTCAAATTTTCCAAAAGTTCCTTGGAATTTTTAAGTATCCACATCTGATTTACACCACTTCTCGAATATATTGTTGCACAGTAGTCCTGTAGTTTCTCCTTCACTACTGTTAATATGTTGGTGGGGAGTAAAGTAAGAGGCATGGTAGAGCATTTACTGGAACCCGCTATCTATATTTTACGAATGTGTAAAATACGGACTCGCGTACGGGAACATAATAAATACGAAATGATACATTTTTGAATTTTCGCAATAATTTAACTCAAAATATGACAGTAAAATGAAAAAAGGAAGCATCAAGAATTAGGCATACACTGTTCAGTGTTCGAGATAAAAGTTTGAGATCAACAATTTATAATTGTAGAGATACGGGTAAACGATTTTCGAGCAAAAAAAAAAAAAAATTGTTGAACACGCATTGTTGAACACGTTTACCCTCCATATTTTATATGATATTTTTTGTATGACTCTTAACTCAAAAAATAATATTTTGACATAATTTGTATAAAATTTTAAAATATACAACATCTACATTGGTTACAAAAAGATGATGGATATCATTATCAAATAAAAGATGTATATTGCTAATAGACAACACATAGTGCAACTGATCCTCATATACAAGAAAACAATAAGGGGTGTGGAACTACAGATGTATTGTGAGACGATTTGAATATACACCGCACTTTAAACGCCCATTACCGCTTGTAAACATGATAAAAGTGGCGGTGTTTAACTACATATTTTTACTTTTCTTTCTAACCACGGACTTTGTAAAGTGTGCCTGTCCTTGTGAATATAAACAACAGTGTGATATTATTAAGGATAATAAGCGCAAAGAGGTCTGGCCAAATGTAGTCTTGATGTTTGTTTGATAGGCTATTTAGCTCTTCTTAACTTATGATCATTGACTTTAGCGTTCCTCATTATGTTTGAAATGATATACAAACCATGTATCTAACAAATATTATGGTATCTAACAAATATTATGTACAGCTACATCTACACCAAATTCTTGTTTAACTTGGTAAATGTAAATAGAAAGTAAAAGTTTCTCGTAGGTGGTCTTTCATGGTCGAATAGTGGGTAATCCATACACAGGATCTTCCAATATTGTATTAAAATGATTTATTGTTTTATTAATAATGTGTGCGATTTTTTTAATTGATGCAGAATTAAAATAACTGAATTGAAATCACTGTACATATATATTTTTTTCTCGCAATGGTTTAACAGAGGATATCCATGATAAGGAAGCGCCGTCATTAATTTGCAACTTTCCGGTAATTAAAAAAAAAGAAAAAAATTAGTGTCCTTCCTTATTGTGTGAATGCCATTGTCAAAGTCTATAAATAATAGCTATACAGGAAAATTTGTTCTACTGGTTGGGCAATAATAAATCTTTTAAATTCAGTGATTCTGAGCACTAGGAAGTGGTGTTTACTGAATGGATTGCAAACTTGCATTAGGATGACTTCTAATTCTAGTTTCTTAATCTTTAAATGTATATGGTTTGCAAATGTTCGGCATCTTCTGTTCGATTGAATGTAACATATATAATTATGATTGAATAATTCATATTTAATAAACCCATGGCTTATTTTTATTGCGTTTCTGTAGGTATTTATATTTTCATTGGATAAGAGGGAAGGAAAATGGAGCCACTATGATTGGTCGAAAGTGACCACGGTTGTAATGGTTGGGTATATTAACCTTGATTTGATGTGTTTTGCCCACAAACACGGAGCAAGGGCTGTTTTAATCGGTAATGATATTTTAAAACAAAGGCTAGTTACACTTACATATTAATTAAAAGAATAAAATAATCATGGATTGTTTCAATATTTATTGAAGAATAAATAGGCTTAAACTGATATATTTTCAAAGCAAACTTTCCGAAGGCAAACCTGACCAATGCTGCACAGAGAAGTAATTGGGTTAAGGACAAACTAAACATTGTGCAGAAAAACTACCTCGATGGAATAAATATTGACTTCGAAGACTTTATTGCTGAGAATAGGACAGACCAGAGAGACGGTTATACAGAACTGGTGAATGAAACTTATCAGACATTCAAACAAGCCAACAAAAATTATCAGGTAATGTACCAAAAGGCAAATGAAACATTACGTTCAGAATAAAATGTATACATGTACATATTTCATGTTCATCTGGATCATGTAAAATAGCATTTTTCCATTCCGTGCTTTATTTTCTGCTGCTAGGTTACAGTTGACGTTGCATGGAGTCCAGTGGGAGTTGACCAAAGATTTTACGACTACCTCAAACTAAGTTATGTTAGTGATTTCTTGTTCATTATGTCTTATGACGAACAAAGTCAAATATATGGAGAATGCATTGCAGGAGCAAATTCGGGATTCTACAAAACAGAATCAGGTATTTTTCCAAAGATCGTGAGAAGTTTTGGAAAATATTAATAATAAATCAATAAGTACATGTATATCTAATTTAAAAAGAGAAGACAAGGCAAGAAAGACCGCGTGTGTTATAATTTTTTGTGTGTTTCTTCCAAAGGTTTCTATAAGTACTATGAAATGGGAGCCGATTTAAATAAATTAGTGTTGGGAGTACCATGGTATGGTTATATCTATCAATGTGAAAGCATCACAAAGGTAAGTGAAGAAGAGATCAAAAGCGTGTTCTCCCTAGATTAAGTAAATACAGAGTGGCTTCCTTTGTTAAAGAGCCCGAATTAATATGGTCATAAAAATATTTATTCTTTAGTTAACTTAAAGAATTTTATTCGATAAGGTCTTTTTTCTATTATGTTTTAACCACTTATCGTTTGATTAATTTTAGGATAACAAATGTGCTATAAAACACGTTCCTTTCCGAAGAATCAACTGCAGTGACGCAGCAGGTTCAGAAATTAATTACAGTTATATAATGTCGTCACTGCTACCAAAATCTTCAACCGGACGAATATGGGATAAGAAAACACTTTCACCATACTTTAATTTTGTAAATAATGTAAGTATTCCCGAAGACATAACTCTGCTAATATAACATGGTAATCGTATAATGTTACGCCATTTACATGGCAATCTTGTGATGTTGGACCCTTTGCATGGCAATCCTGAGATGTTACATTTACATGGCAATTGGCAATCTTGTAATGTTGGACCCTTTACATGGCAGTCCTGAAATATTGTAACATTTACATGACAATACTGTAATGTTGTTCCCTTCACATGGCAATCCTGCAATGGTGGGCCCCTTACATGGCATTCTTGTAAGTTGAACGCTTTGCATGCAATCTTGTAATGTAATGTTGGACCATTTACTTGACAATCTAGTAATGATGGACCCCTCTCATGGCAATCTTGTAATGCTGGACCCTTTGTATGACGATCTCGTAATGTTGGACCCTTTGTATGACGATCTTATAATGTTGGATCTTTTACATAGTAATGCTCTAGTAATGTGCTCTTTTCATGACAAACTTGTTTTGTACCTTTTATTTTCTGTTGCACTGGACACTGTCACTATAATAATAACATTATAGTGAACTAGATGACCTGAGCCAAACTTCACATAGTAATTAGACGCAGTGATATCTTAACCCAACTTTTCTTTTTTTATCATTGCTCTGATACGAATACTACATACAACTTGTCACTGTTTGAGAGTTAGATTAATTGTATGTTTTTATGTCCCATTTGAGGGCACCGGTGAAGGACTTCAGATTTAGACCTTGACCTGGCACTCAGAACCATTGAGCAGTGAGGCATTTTATTGTTCCAAGACCTATCATGACACGGGGCCTTGGCTTTTAAGATCTCTTCTGAAAGACCCACAATTTTTACTTCTTTTTATCGACTTGGATCTGTCGCGGCCAGGGCTCGAACCCACGACCTTCGAATCACGGAGCGAGCGCTCAATCGCTTTGACAATTCGAATCGACAAGAATAACCCATGTCACCGCCTAATGAAGTCCAGACTATCAATAAAGTTGCGCTACCATTTAGCAGGGCTTTGCTGAAGCTTCTGTACACACTTGCAGAAGATGGATTTCTGCTATCTGATAGCTTGGCACTCTTGTGCTTGTCCATCGCTATTACTCTTTCTTCGTAGAAGATGGATTTCTGCTATCTGTCAGCTTGGCACTCTTGTGCATGCCTATCGCTATATGTCAGCATGGCGCTTGTCTGTCGGTTCCGATCGTCATCAGATGGTCTCCAACCTTCACCAGATGTTCCGAGCCTAAACCATGACATTCTCCAGTTGGTGGATCAGCAATGTGTTAGTGGCCAATCCGCTACTTGATGGATCACGACTTCCAGCACAGATCATCTCGGCGGTTCCATTTCTAGCAGTATGACCTCTCTGCTTCTTCTCCCAGTCTTCTTATTGCTGTCTTACATGTTCTTTCTGATATTCCTAATCGTGCAAGTTCCACATCGATTGCGCTAGGAACCCTCTTCAGCCGACATCTATCGGAAACGGCCAAACGCTCCATCCTCTATTCTTGCAGTCTGCCATGAGGTCTGCATATTTAAGGTTCTTCTTCTCATGTGCCTCCTCACAATTTTTCTTCCCATGGCACGGTCAGCTCTATTGTGACCAACTTCTTCGACTGCTGGGACACTAATACTGCGTCTGGTTGTAGGTTGGTTTTCACGATGTTAGGGAAAACTAATTTCCTGTCCAGATCTATTCTGAGCTCCCAGTCATGTCCTCTATCCAGCATTGATGTCCGTCGTGCTGCTCTTGTGTCAGACGGTCCCCCCCCCCCCGTTTCACAAACTGAATCTGTCCTTGTTTCATGTCTGTTGGTCGATTCCTTCTCCTCTCAACCTCCAGCACATCACTCCCGCGGGAATTTGTCGTGTCACCATCTATATATCCCCTGTGTCAGCGCTACTTGGCATCCTGAAAGAATATGCGCATAGTCCCTCTCTTACCACACCGCTTACAGTTTGGGTCTTCGCTTAGTTCCCACTGTTGAAAGTTTACAGTAGATGAGCGTGTGTCATACACTGACCTCAGCAGGGACGAGATTCTAAACTGACCCTTCTTCCATAGTTCTGCCCATGTTAATTCCCGCTCCGGTAAATCCCACTTCATCCAGGCCCCCTGTTTTCCAAGTTCTTTTGATTTTGCTTTCCGTTGATCTTACTCAGTGCGCCGTACTTCAGCCTGAACCTTGGTGCACCTCTCTGCTGGTGATGCTTTTGACCACTGCTGGAAATGTGACATTTCCACGCCCTGTTGCCCAGTGCTTGTGTTTCCAATGATGTCTCGTGAGTATAACATACTCTCTGGTTGGTCCACTGATGTTTTTGCTGACCACTTTCTTCCCGTCCATGTCTGGATTACTGCTCTTGCGATCCTGTCGTCTGCGTCTGCTGATCCCATAACGTCATTACCAAGCGGCATTTTGCTACCTTGAATTCTTCCACCATAGAGGAAACTGGTATGCGTAATTGAGTTGAGTTGCTGTAGAGTCCAATCGATGTAAATGATGGTGGAACTCCTAGCCATCTCCTTAGATACCAACTCACTTTCCTTTCCATAGCTTCGATTGTAGTACTTGCGATTAGGAACAGCCACATTAGTCTTGGTAAGATCCCATGCTGGTAGATTCATGCCTTATACTTTCCAAGTAGTCGGCTGCCATCAACCATTTTTAGCCAAGACAGGAGCTTCTTAGTTGTGTCTTCGATGCTATTTTTGTCTGTGAGGGATTCATTAAAACACTTTCCGAAGTATTTAATTGGGTTTCCTAATATAGATGGGATCTCCTCTCTTTGAAATTGCATCTTGACTAGTCTGTCGACACGCCCCTTCCTCAATATGAGACATTTGGATTTCTTTGGCTTGAACTTCATGCGTGCCCTGGAAACCTATCTTCAAATGCTGATCTTGCCTGTTTATGAGTCGTTGCTGTCACTGTGAGATCATCCATAAAGCCTCTGATTGGTGGCTGATAAATCCCCGAGTCCATCCTCAACCCTCTTGATTCTCTTTCTGCACACCCAGTACAAACAGGATAGGAGAAATTGTACATCCTGTGACTATCCCTTTCTCTACTCTTTGCTAGGACGTGGTGTAGTCATCGACAGTGAACCGGATCTGCATTCCTCCGAAGTAGATCTTGACAATCCCCTGAACCTTCTCTGGTATATGGTTCAGTTCCATCACCGACTCAATCAGCTTGTGGGGGACAGGTCCATAAGCGTTGGCTTGGTCTAACCACACTGCTGCGAAGTTTTTCTTGCTTTCCGTGGCCTCCTTGATGAGGTGGCTTATGACACGTGTGTTCTACGCATCCGGAGTACCCTGGTGTGCCTGCCTTTTTAAAGATGTATCTATGTAACCGTTGTTCACCATATACCCTGATATTCGCTTTGCTAACACTGACATGAACATTTTGACCTCCACATTTAGCAAAGATATTGTTCTAAACTGGTTGATTGTCTTACAGTTCTTCTCTTTCAGTACAAAACACCCCTCTGCCTCTTTCCAGCATTGTGTTTTCCCTTTCCTCCAGATTACTCGGAAAAGCTGCCAAAATTTCCCTAGTAACTTTGGCGCCTCTTATATACTACCGGTATGTATTGTATCTCATTTGGTCTAGGAGTTGAGCTTGATTTTGCTTTCTTGACGACTTCCTTCAAATCCTTCCATGTAGACTCCTTAACATCCATCAAAGCCTCTGGTGGATCCAATTTCGCCTCATGCGGGCATTGATCCAATGGTTCTTTTCACAGTGGGTCAGAGTGTGTTTCTTGTAAATACCCCTCAACTTCTTCATTTGAACAGTGAAGTGTTCCTGTCTTTCTTCGCCTAGAAGCTCCTGTATAAACATAAGCGAGTTCTTAAAAAATCTTCCCCTGTTCTTCTCACTTTTCTTCATCTGCGTCAGGTGCTCCGCTCTCCTTAGCCTTGAAAGCTCTGACCTGATATCATTCGTCAGCTGTGATATTTCTGCTTTTTCCCAGTCCTTTGCTCTTCTAAACTGTTTATTCAGCTCTTAATTCTTGACGACATTCTCTGATCCTTCGCTCCATCCTATCTGGGGTCTGATCTTTTGCTCATTCCTCGATTTTCCTTTCTCCGTCCCAAACCGCTCTTTCCCAATGTTATACACCATGTTGGTAAATATGTCTATCTTCCTCTCTACTTTCCTTTGCATTGTTGACTCAAAGATCATGCTGACATCTTGATCGAAGCCACTCGACACTACTTCATCATCTCCTTTCGGCCATGATATTCTTAGCCTTTTTCCTTAACGTTCCTTTGCGTCTGCTGGCCATGGCTAGCTCGAAAAACAAGTTCCTCCATCAAGTTGCCGTTGCTGTCTTGGGACGACTCAGACAAGGAGAGGTTCCTGGCTCTATGGGCTATGTCCTGGCTAGGATCCTCCTGCGTCTCACCACTTGGTGCTGCGCGCTGTGTCTGGGTTGTCACATTATCACATTGATTTCTTGCTTGGTGCATTCACAATCCTCGGATGTTTTTGCAGACTTTACCGCACGTACATCTCACTTCAGCCTTTCCTCCATCTAAAGTTAGTAGCACCATCCCTCTCACATTCCATGGGTTGTTTCTTGTCGTTGCCATTAGATCTGCCTGTTCGAGCCTCTAATCCCCCCTCTCTGGGGGCTCTGGGGGTTTTGATCATTTAGTTCATCATAGCTAATTTGGGTGTCCCCTCACGAGCACTGTGCAAAGGGAAGCTGCCCCCCCCCCTTGGTACCCGTGTCTAGACTTCCTGGCGCCACCTGTCTCTCCAGTGGCACCGGTCTTCCACAGTCGCCATCTAGTCTTTCCTGACAGTCACCGGTTTCCCAGGTTAACAGTATGCACTTACAGAAGATGGATTTTTGCTAACTGTGAGCTGGTTTGTATTATAAAACATTTTTGTGCCCCCGTAAATGAAGATTCGGGGGCATTGGTGTTTGCTTTGTCCGTCCCTTAGTCTGTCTGTCTCTATATCCGCAAAAACTTTAATCTTACCCATAATTTGTGATTGGTTGGAGCTATGACTTGCATATTTCACATGTGTATTCCTTGTGACGACCTCTAGACCTTGACTATGGAGTTGACCCACTTTTGCAAAATTTTACCAAACTTTAACCTTGGACATAACTTTTTAAACAATTAGAGCTAGGGCTTTCATACTTCATATGTGTATTCCTTGAGACAAGACCTTCCCTTGGATGCCAACAATTTGGACCCTTTGACCTTGGAGTTTGACCTACTTTTGAAAAGCTTTTACCTTGGCCTTAACTTTTTAAACAATTAGAGCTAGGGCTTTCATACTTCATATGTGTATTCCTTGTGACAAGACCTTCCCTTGGATGCCAACAATTTGGACCCTTTGACCTTGGAGTTTGACCTACTTTTGAAAAGCTTTTACCTTGGCCTTAACTTTGGAACGGCTAGGGCTATCATATTTCACAGGTGTATTCATTGTGACAAGATTTTCCCTTGGATATCATTTATTTTGACCTTGACCTTGGAGTTTGATCTACTTTTGAAAATCTTGACCGTAAGTTTCGAACAGATGGTGCTAGGGCTTTCATATTTCACATGTTTATTCCTTGTGACAAGAAATCCCATTGGGTACCAACAGTTTTGACCTTTTATCCTTCACCTTAGAGTTTGACCTACTTCTGAAAAAACATTAACCTTGGCCATAATTTTGTAGCGGCTAGGGCTATGGCTATCATATTTCACAGGTGTATTCCTTGTGACAAGACCTTTCCCTGGGTACCATTTATTTTGACCCTTTAACCTTGACCTTGGAGTTTGATCTACTTTTGAAAAACTTTAACCTTGTCCATAACTTTTGAAAGGTTGGTGCTAGGGCTCTTGTATTTCAATGTGTATTCCTTGTGGTAAGACCTTTCTTTAGATAGCAACATTTTTAATTTCTTGACCTTGAAGTTTTATTTACATTTTAGAAACTTTAGCCTTTGCCATGAGCTGCCATACGGCGACATCAATGTTTCACAAACACATCTTGTTTTTGCTATCGGTTGGCTATTACTTGTATCAGATCAACATAAAGTCTCTCACCCCTTCTATAATCTCTCACCAAACTAGTCTGGGAAATACAAGTATAAAATATTATCTATTGCAGACAGTAACTTACCAGATATGGTATGATGACCCAGAGAGTCTCGTTTTGAAATACAACATCAGTACGTACCACAGACTACGAGGGGTGGGTATGTGGAACGCTGATGCTGTGGACTTCCAGATAGACCCAGAGGGCGCGAAAAAAATGTGGGACGCTCTTCCGGTGTACTGAGAAATAGATCATGTGATATCAGCAGATCATTTCTATTTTCCAGGTTTTGTTGGGAGAAGTTACTGCTGGGGTGTTCCTGCATAATTAAATGAGGAACTCGAATTTATCGTATTTCATTAAATTAGTATGTCTAGTGAAATTACCTTTATGTATGTTTAAAAAAATTATAATTTTATATGCAATATCATGTTATTAACTTATTATGTTTAGTTGGCCAACATTCCATTAGTTTTTTATTTGTGCTTGGTACTATAAATTTGTTGAAGAGATCAACATTTGTTTCTTTTATATCTTGCAAGGTGCTGGTTATCCTACAATCTGAAAATATAATATATTCATTATTATTATTAGAAATATGCTACACATGCATCCCCTTTTTTTGCTGCATCAGAACATATGAAAATATAATAATTGGTATCGAAATATCATGATGTTACTAATGACGATATAAAATAATTAAAATGTAAAGATTTTGAATTTTACATTGCAAATGTTGATTAGATGAGCTCAATAGAATAATATTTAAGCATCGAATTATTAATTTTTGATTTATGCCATTCGGTCTTACCTTGACCATGTACCAATGTCTCTTTGGACAAGATCAAAGGGGGGGGGGTATTGTGATGGGAGTGTCAGTCCGTCTATCTGCACGTCCGGCAGTATGTCTGTTACGCTTTGGGTTACACATCTCTTATCCGCAACTCCTCTTATACCTCTGAATAAAATATGATGATACTTTCACAGAATCTTTGTTACATAGTGCCATTGTGCACCTTCTATTTTACTTTTGATCAGACACATATTTCGGGTTTCCAATAGCAAAACATAGACACTGCCATTTTTCAATAATATTGAGGAGTACCCATCTCTTATCCGCAACTCCTCCTATACCACTGAATATAATTTAATGATACTTTCACAGAATCTTTGTTACGCAGTGCCATTGTGCACCTCCTGTTTTACATTTTGATCGGACACATATTTCGGGTTTCCAATAGCACAACATAGAACACTGCCATTCTTTCTGTAATATTGAAGGGTACCCATCTCTTATCCGCAACTCTTCCTATACCACTGAATAAAATTTAATGATACTTTCAAAGAATTTTTATTACATAGTGTCATTGTGCACCTCCTATTTTACTTTTTAATCGGACACTTATTTCAGTTCTCCCATAGCAAAACATGGACTTTGCCATTATAAACATATAGGAGGCGGGGGTATCATTTTGTGAGCTCAGTGCTCACAATTCCTCTGTATAGCTAGTTTCTTTTCAGTTTTGTTATTGTGAAGTTTTCGGAATTTTATTGAAATTTTTGTAAGCAACATTGACCGTCACGGTAGCTCAGTCGGTAGAGCTCTCGCTGGACGTGATCGGAATGTCGTGCGTTCGAATCAAGGCCGCGACTGACTTAAGTGGATAAAAAAATAAGTAGCAACTGTTCCTTCGCCAAGCTCTCGGCACTTTGAAGTGAAAGTTGCGGGTCATTCGGATGAGACCTTAAAAACCGAGGCAGCATCTGAAACTTGACTGGTGACAAGGAAACACGCTAGATCAGATGACTCTGATTAATATAGGGCATAGATATACTTGGAAAAAAATCTGCATCAAAAACTTTTTACCTGGAACACCGATGCCGACGGTATTACAAAAGCTCCCCCAACTTCGAGGAGGTGAGCTAAATATGTGAAGTTAACGTTATATGCTGGCGACAAAAAAAGTATCGAAATGAAGATAGGTTACAATAATGTTTTCTACTGTTAATATAATCGAGAATCTTCTTTGATTTAAAAAATATGCTACTTTTGGCTTAGTATTTTAACACAGAGTCAGGTCAAGAAACCAGGAGCTTCTAATTTTAGATATGCAAATTTTATGCAATTTTCAATTTTTAGATATGAAGTGCACACGCGACACTCATCATATTTCAGGAAATTAGTGTGCAGAGTATATCTAATTACTGAACAAATTTAGGTGAGTGTCCCTCATGCACTTCATATTCTAAACATCGATTTATAAATGCCACCCTCTTATATTTTCCCATAAGCCTAATGTTAACGGATCTGAGTGTATATTTGAAATATAAATAACAATAATTAACATATTTATCTTGAATTCTAAACTAGTTTTGAAAAAATAAATTGAAATTTATTTTTATGAAAAAAAAGTGGGCCGCTGAGCGGCCTTATCGAAACTCCTCCTTTCACATTAAGCGATTGAGGGGCAATATGAAAACCATCTATCTGTCTGTGTTCAATATTTCAAAAATGATGAAAAGTTTGTACTGGTTCTAGCTGCAGAACTGTTGTGTTATGGTTTTAACCATAACGCTACAGATCCCGTAATGCAAATATGGTACAATTTACGGCACAAGATTTTCTGCGCACTTTTGGTGAGAATTTCTCCACTTTCCAGCATTGATCAACTAACTACCTTTCACTCCCTAATTCTAACCAACTTGTATATTTTATCCACCTCATAACCCTTTATAGTCGTCTCTACAGACCAATGAACTCGCTTGTTTTGAATTGTTGTCGGATGGCAGGAAATTTAAAACAAGCGAGTTTATTCTATATCGACTTAGGTCAGTCGCGGCCGTGATTCGAACACACGACCTTCCGACCACGGAGCGAGCGCTCTACCGCCTGAGCTACCGTGACGGCCCCCCTTTCTTAGGAGGAAATTCTTTAAAATCATACATGTATGTCTGTTTTAAATATTTTTGATATTCCAAACAATCAAAATGAATCAGAATTTGAATTACCAAACCTATCCTGGATTCCTAAACTTCATAAAAATCCTTACAAACAAAGATACATAGCGGGTTCCAGTAAATGTTCTACGAAGGTTGTTTCTTTACTCCTCACTAAAATATTAACAGTAGTGAAGGAGAAACTTCAGAAGTACTGTACTTGTAATAAAAGACACCATAGAGTCTGACACATCTATTTCATATTTGGATATTTTACTAGAAAAAGGCGTTAATGGTAACCTAACAACCAAGCTTTATGATAAACGTGATGACTTCAACTTTTCAATCGTCAACTTCCCTTACTTATGTAGCAAAGTACCCTTATCACCTGCATATGGGGTTTATGTCTCTCAGTTGATTCGATATGCAAGAGCTTGCTCTACGTTCGAACAATTTCTAAGACGATGCAAGTTATGGACAAACATGTTGATGAAACAAGAACATCAACAGTCTTTGTCAGAAAATACAATTTATCATTAAGTCAAATGCTGACTGACGTTTTACATTCTAATAAGTAGGTCATTCTTTACACTCTGAATTGTCTACAGATTTTCCCGTTTTCACGATTATGAAAGAGCACATGGCGGGTGTGACCGATCGGCAGGGGATGTTCACTCCTCCATGGCACCTGATCCCATCTCTGATGTTTTAGAGGTGGACCTCCGTGTTTGCTCTACGCCTTATTTGTATTGTTTGAATGGACTTCTGAGCTAGAATACTGTTCGTTATCTCCATAATTCATGAATACCCGGGACTTGTACGTATTGAATAAAACGTCTACGAAGTTGGGTCTTCCTAATGCATAAGGTAGAGACTATAAAGCTTATGTCTTCGTCCTGGTAAAGAATAAAAACATATTTTATGCCACGTTTTATTTCCTGATTCACAATTTCTTACACGGTGCCCCATTGTTCATGCCTTAGCTATTCCAAACTTCATTTAAAATTCAGTAATAGGGCTAGCAAAGACTAATTATGCATGCGTATCTGGGTACCACAGTACTTATGAAGGCATTGATCATTCAAAAACAATAAAAAGTGGAATAATTCTGTTTTCTTTTTCAACTCCAAATAGAAAATTGAGTCATGCACCTTTTTTAATATGCAAATAAATATATGTCTTATTAGTTTTAGATCACAATATCAAGGAAAACAATTTAATTCTGCGCGCATTTATTTAAAATATTGCCCATTAATTTTCTGACAATCTCTCCTTCTCTCTTTCTCTCTCAAGAGAGATGTTGCATTGTACTTCCATTATATAATATATATATATATATATATATATATATATATATATATATATACCAGTCATTCCAGGATTCGAACCCATTCTCAGGTAAAAGAATCTTTGCTTAGAGTCCACACGCTTTACCACTAGACCAGCTCCTACAGTGAAGCATCATGTGCTATTTTATGTGCACATTTTGCATTTCGGATGGATAATAATTTCTATTCGATTTTTGTGATTTTTAAAAATATGCCTCTTCGAAACAAAAATCGGAAATGGCAGTTTTGAAGAAAAATCATGTCTTTTTATGCGTATATCAAAACCATTCTGTTTCAAGGAGGCAATTTTTCAGAAAAATGGGGATCCCCTATTTGAAAAACAGAAAACTTGACTTGTTTTGCTATGTGACTAATTTACACTTCATATAATAACAAATTGGAAGTCGATATGCGGTTTCTAAATATCTTTCTACATTGTGCTGTATATACCGTTGTATATGAAAAAAAATTCTGTTACTTAATTTTTTTCTTTTAAACCGCTACAACTTTAGGGAAAATAACAAAAGAACTGCAACACCCTCTTTCAAACACGATTGCAGATGGTATAAAATCTCAATGAACATGTTGTGATCATGGAGACCAGTGAAGTTCTCTATTATTCTGTTTAGCTTTACTTTTTAATTGACATTTTTATACGTAGTAGAGAGAGGATGACTGTTGTTAGGATTTTCTGATTGGTGCTTGTTCGCATCCATTCGTCTAAATGTTTGTAATCTTTTCATATTTTCGATTTGTTTTCTCCTCAAAAACCGGATTACTTTCAACCAAATCTGGTATAAAGTATCCTCCAGTAAAGGAAATTTGGGTTTTTCCCCATAGAAGGGCCTTATCGAGGGATGATTATTTAAAAAAGAGTGAAAATACGCTGTTCATTTTTCTAGAACCATTGAGACAGGGACCTTTTCTCATTTTTATACAGTACACTCAACATGATTCAAATGGTGCATGGTCCCAGGGGACAGGATGGACAGGGGCGGATCAAGGATTTCCAATGGGAAGGAGAATGCTGGGGTCCGGAAAACTGGATGTTAGAGTTATAAAATTTATCTGATAAAGTAATCATAAAATGACCTCGGACGTTCCGAGGATATATGAACCCGTGAATATGATAAGAAAAGTCATATACATGTAAATGAAGGATTTCAAGCGGCTTGTCAATAAGAAGTATCCAAACCATCCCACCCACCCCCAATCCTCCCTTACGAAATACTTATAGTTAATTTGTGGGGTTTTTTTTAAATTTAATTTTAATTTAATTTAATTTTATTGCGTTTTGATGTTTCGAGGTTTTCTTTCATTTCTTTTGTAACGTGTTATCTAAGTGTTCGTTTTCAAGGGATGAAGGGTCTCAGTTGACACATATGAATATAAAAATGATTTCCCTCTCACTCTACTTGAGTTTATAATTAAGTACATGTACTTGAAATCAAACTTATTTATAACGACGATTCCTCATATTTGGGATACTTTTCCCGGGTTTTATTATTTTTTTTAATTAGCTACAGGGACACTAGCTTTCTTTCCTAAATCCTTCTTTATTTTTATTTTATTTATTTTGGTCAAAAATTTCTGAGTCGGATGTTTTCTTTGGAGTGGGTATGGACCCCCTTCTTTTTGAAAAAGTTCCTGGATTTATGCAAAAGTGAATTCAATTTTGTTAAAATTCGGGCACCCAGACTCAGGGAGAGGCCTCTGCAAGGGTTCAAAGTGGACGAATTTCAATGAAATTGAATAAGGAATTGAAGAGAATAAGGAATGATCAATTATTCATTTTCGCCCCCCAAAAATGGGGACACTCATAGTTTAAACTACAGCTCACTCTAAGAAAGATACATTATAATAGAGAGGATCGAATATAGTGAATCTGGTCGAATTACAAAATTGAAAATCTCAGACATCATTGATAAAAAGAAAAAAGGTGTTGGAAATTTAATTGATTATTCAATTATTCAATTTTATCTTCTAGCTAGCTACATCATAGACATGTACGTGAAACTTGCTGAATTTTTTTTTTTTTTTTTTTTTTTTTTGATCTGGGTGTTCTCGCCGATGTCACTTAACCATGTTAACTGCACAAAATAAGAATATCATTTCAGTGTCATGGCATGTAAACACCATCGTATTTTTAAAATTAATATGTATTTAAACAATTCCGGAATTAATGAGTCTGTACGTGTTCGCTCCTCTAAAAATTCCACCGGAAGTTTACAAACTTACGCAGGCGCTGGAATAACGCGCGAAAGAGGAAATGTGAAGATGACGGTGGAAACAACAGAAGTAAATGCAACCGTAAGTAATTGTTAATTTGTATTTTTTTAATCATTATATAATTCAAGTTAAGGGAAAAGTGATCATATGATAACGTGTAAATTCTTTGAAACCCTAATAGATCTAAACTTTGTTTCTTTAATGTTCCATATGCACACAATGAAAACTATTTATATGAAAGGAATTGTTTATTTTAGCAGATTGAAGTGAAGAAAAGTTTGAAAGAAGATGCTCACAGTAATGAAAAAGTGGATTCAGGGATGGATGATGATAGCCAGCAGTCTAATGAACAAGACATGCACTGTAAAAAATAGTTTTATATTCAAAATCAAATGAGATTGCGTATATTTAATTTATAATCCCAGATTCTTCTGACTCTTACACCTGCTTTTATATTATGACAAGTGTGGGGGAGAGTCAGAGTGGAGGCCATATTGAAAAGTGGAAATTCATCGGACTCGAGCCAGTGTTGTGACACTGCCTACTGTCTACCTTTCACAATTTTATTCCATGAATCTAACTTCTGAGATGGGATAATTCAGTAAAGGAATAATTCCTCTTCAACTTAATCACATTGTTTAACTTAATCACATGGGTTAAAAATGTCTTTAATGGGATCAGTATCACAGTAAAATTTGAAATATCGTAATTAATATTGAAGTTGTCATACATAAGACAGTAAAGTACAAAATTTTTGTTGTTGTAAATGTTGATTCATTAAATGACTTTTATACTTTGGTTTTTAGTGAGTGATGAGGAGGGAAATGACCTATTGATAGGTAGAAAATCAAAACAGGTAAACCGTCATTTATTCATTTTGATGACTAATTCTGCATAAAGAATGTTCGAAAAATACAAATAAATGATTGCCATTTTTGTTGGGCTGCCGTTTATTAGATGAGTGAGGGTTTACTCTCTTTAATGCATTAAAGGATAATGTCTTCTTTTTTTTTTGCATGTATCACAGTGTTAATTTCATTATTTATATGTTGTACACAATGCAGTATTTGACTGATGATTGCAGCATACAATCAAAATAATAGACTTAAAATTTTTTATCATTTTTATTTTAGAAGTTTGTCATATTTTGTCTAGAATTTTTGTTAAATTGCAAAATTCTATAGCAACACAAGTGTTGGAAAAATAAGTACCTGTATGTATACCAGTAAAAATAGATTTACATGTATGAAGGGAAAAAAATTAATTCAAGGTATTTTAGAGAAGAAAATATGCAGAAGAGTTATTTTATCTACATTGTAATGCATGATGATAGAAAGAAAATGTTAAAAATATTCTAAAAGGGGTAAATCGATTCTAAAGATTTGAAAAAAAATTTTGTTTTGGGTTAGAATCAAGATAAAAGTACATGTATATCTGATGTTATATTAACTTTACATTTTTATTTCATCAGAGTAATAGGATATTGGATGATGATGAGGAGGAATGTATGGAGAGGGGAGGAGAAACAACAATAGAAGGTATGCCTGACAGGGTTCGAAATTCACTATATAAAACTCGCAAAACGCGAGTTAGAATTCCCAAATTGCGAGTTAAAAATTAGGTAACTCGCAAAAACTTGCGAGTTGATATTTTTTGCATTGAAACTGTAGAAAATTATATAATATGACAGAACACAATACTTTTGATTTAAATCAGTAATTTTAATAAAAGTCACACTGTAGTTGTATTTTGTGTATTGTACAGTAACTTTTTCCTTAAGTTACATGTATTTGATTTATATAAATTTAACTTTGTATGAAAATTGCGAGTATTCTTTAATATAAAATTGCGAGTTCACTTTCTTGGTACTCGCAATTATTTGCGAGTTGTAATTTTAGGGAGTTTCTAACCCTGCCTGATTATTTATTACTTAGGACTCAAAGGTCCTTAATTCTATGATTCCCCTTGTTTTGGCTTGTGGTGAGGTCGATCAGGAATCATAACTCTTTACTTGTAAAAGAATTGTTTTAACTTGACACTTTGTATTAAATTAAAAGTTTTTTTTATTCCTCAAACTTGGAAGAAAACGGAGAGAAAATTTTTAAGTTGCATGGTGCAATTTTTAGTTGTAAAAAACTTTTTGTTTGTTTTTTTTTTTCCATGAAAAATTTGTATGTCTGTATGTAATGTGCAACGTTCTTCAAATTTTATCCACAGATTGGATTTCAAAAGATATTAGTATCTATAAATTTTACAAAGTATTTTTTGTTTGGTCATACAAAAAATAAAGAGATTTTGACACTTTTGAGCATTGTAAACAAATCACATGTGGCAGTTGAACGAAAATATGGTCATCCTAAATCATTAATAGACTCTTAGTGTAAAAGATTCAAAACAGGGGTATAATACACTCAAAGCAGTGTATTTATAAAGAAGGGCACATGGAGTAGTGGACCATTTGAATCCTCAAGAACATGATAAAAAATTACACAGTAATACAAAATGTCTAACAGTACCTTCACATTTCTCACCTGTACATTCCTATCTGTGTAGCTTTTAGAAGTCTCATAATCTAGTCATTTAAATATTCAAAACATGTTTCTTATCTCTGTGGTATTTGACCAAGATTTTTCCTATAAATGTTGTAAAAACCAAAGAAAAAAGTTGCATATTTATTGTTGTACATATTCTATTAAAACGTACTTCTATTGTGTAGGGAAAAATATACTTCTACATTAGACCAAAAGTATTAAGGGCATAATTGTTTATTTGAAACAAAATTATTTAAAAGTATGGCTAACTTTATGTTACGTTTATGTTAAGAAACAATGGAACACAAACGTTAACCTTTTCCTAAAATTTCAGAAAAAGAAAGTAAGAGAACTGAGAGTGATTCACCATCGGTAAGTTAATTAAAATAAAATTAAAGTTTTTATCCCCTCGCCCTTGTTATTGATCGTGGTACTGCAAAAAGGGGCAATTAGATGTTTTTAGTTTGTGTCATACTTTCTTACTAAGAATACATAATTCTTTATACTGTAAAATCGCAAATTTTCATGGTTTGAGTAAAAAATGTGGGTTCGTTGGGGATTTAATTTCGTGGATGAAGCATTGTTGAGTAATTATGTACATGTATATGACATTTTACATTTCATGGTGGTCCTGAATTCGTGGGTCTTTTCATTCCTTGAAAACAATGAAAATTAAACCCCACGAAAATTATCACAGTAATTGTTTTAATAGATCAGAGTCTAATTTACAGGTTACAGATGAAGCTTTAAGCAAAGCATTCGAAAGTGGATCTGAGAATGGTTTGATAATCAGTTATAAAAATTAAAAAAAAAAAGATTTTTACCTTTAGGCCACACCAATTTAATGTCTTGTTCGTTGGACATTTGATGAAAAAAGTATGAGCGGGCAAGCAGTTAAATAATAATATTATTACTTTTTTGTAGGCAAAAATTTTAGGTGGAGCGTGAAAAAATTTGAGCGGACAATTATATTTTTTCTGATTTTCAGAGTAAGCAGATTTAAAATACGAAAAATAGAGCAGAAATGGAATAGAAAATAACACAGAATTTCCATGGTGCGGGAAATTGAAATTGATATTATTTGTATAGTTTTGCTTAAATACGAGTGCGCGGGTCAGATGAACAAAAATTTTTATTGGTGTGGCCTTAAAATTAATTGTAAAGAGAGCTTTTAAAATTTGGATGGGAAGTTGTTATTACACTGTACATGTACGAGTTATGTTATGCTTGTAGATAGTGATGAAGAGGGAATGACTTTAAGTGTAGTTAAAAAGAAGAAAAGAGTAAGTAACAGATCAAAGTGAAAGTAAAGGAAATATTTCATATATGACGTGTAATAGATTCCTTTGTTTTAGTATTGATCATATTGTTTGTAATATTTTTGACATATTTTATTCAAAGAACATTATACTGTTTTTGAACTTGAGTGGCATGAATACTTTGATACATGTATTACCGTTAGAAAAAGTTAATTTTGACATGGATCCTTTTTTTTATGCTATATTTGTGATTTATAGATTGCTTCTTTTGATGAGGACAGCAATCATTCTACTAAAGGTAATATTTAACAAAACCTTTAAATATTGATTTCCCGTGTGATACTGTAGAATACTTGTGTTTGTCTACAATAGATGTAACCTTTCATTTCAAATTAGCACTCCACAATTTATTTCAGAGGGTGAACAAAAGGATGATTCGGAACATGCAGGAGAAATTAAGGTACAATTAACATGGAAATTAATATTTTAGACAGTTTTATTCAATGCTAGAAATGAACACTATCATCAGGATGATCCTGTCTAAATACAAAGCTACTCAATTTGGATGACAGAAAAAAAATGTGTTTAAATGTTTGTGCATTGTATACTGCATTTGATAGCAAACAATATGGTTGTGAGTTTTGGAAAGGATTTGGGCCAAGTGCAAAACCAGGGAAAATACAACACTTCACATTAAACAAGAGGCCCAGGGGCCACATCGCTCACCTGAGCACTATGGCTAGAAAAAAGCGAAATCAGTTCAGTCTTGAAAGGTTGAAAAGTTTAAATATAAAAGGGGGGGGGGGGGGGTCATGAATTGAACAAATTTGAATCTACATTATCTGAGGATGCTTCCATTTAAATATGACCAATCATGGCTTTGCTGTTCTTGAGTAGAAGATTTTTAAAGATTTAACCTATGTATTCCTATGTAAAACTTTGATCACCCATTGTGGCCCCACCCGACCCCCCAGGGGTCATGTTTGAACAAACTTGAATGTACACTATCTAAGAATGCTTCCATATGAATATGCATATCATGGCTTTGCTGTTCTTAAGAAATAGTATTTTTTAAAAGATTTTTACTACGTTTTCCTATGTAAAACTTTGATCACCCATTGTGGCCCCACCCTATCCCTGGGGGTCATGATTTGAACAAATTTGAATCTACACTATCTGAGGATGCTTCCTTGTAAATATGACCAAACATGGCTTTGCTGTTCTTGAGAAGAAGATTTTTAAATATTTTTCCTATATATTCCAATGTAAAACTTTGATCGCCCATTGTGGCCCCACCGACCCCCGGGGGTCATGATTTGAACAAACTTGAATCTACACTATCTGAGGATGCTACTATATAAATATGACCAATCATGGCTTTGCTGTTCTTGAGAAGAAGATTTTTAAAGATTTTTCCTATATATTCATATGTTAAACTTTGATCGCCCATTGTGGCCCCACCCAACCCCAGGGGTCTGAGTTGAACAAATTTAAATGTACACTATCTGAGGATGCTTCCGTGTAAGTATGACCAATCATGGCTTTGCTGTTCTTGAGAAGAAGATTTTTAAAGATTTTTCCTATATATTCCTATGTAAAACTTTGATTGCCCATTGTGGCCCCACCCTACCCCTGGGTAAGAGACTTGGCCACTTTGTTTAAAAAACATTCGAAATTAATGCCTACAATGTTCACACCTTGATAAGCAATGGATATATAAGCAAATTGATCAGACATTAAAAGCGTTATGATTTACAAGATGCTGAATTCTAATATCAAAACATGCCATCCCCATACTTATCTATTTAAAGTAGGTGCAATTTCATTTTATGCAAATAATAAAAATACACCAATCAAGTTATGTTTTTCACAGTACTATATTTGCTGTCTTTATTTATCTTTTGTGTAATGGGTTTGCTACCAAAGTTCACACATTTACACATGATTTGCCATGTGCTTCACAGGTATATAGTTATACCTGTCTTTGGTTACCCTGTCTTTGCTCCTCAGAAATGCTAAAAAGTAGTTTTCAATTTGACAGATTTTTGGGGTTTCCCAAAGCAAAACATGGACACTGCCATTCTTGATTAGAGTTGCACAGAATCTTTATTACATAATGCCATAGTGGACCTCTTATTTTTCATTTTGGTCAGACAGATATTTTGGGTTTTAGCAAAACATGGACACTTTCATGCTTTCTATAACATTGGGGGGGGGGGGGGTACCCCATATCTTATCTGCAACTTCTTCTATACCACTGAAAAAAAAATTGATGAAACTCTCAGAGAATCTTTATTAACTAATCCCATTGTGCACCTCCTATTTTTCATATAGATCGGACAGATATTTGGTGTTTCCCATAGCAAAACTTGGACAATGCAATTCTTTCTGTGATAATGGGGTACCCATCTCTGATCTGCAACTCCTCTATACCAATGAATTAAATTTAATCAGGCCTTCACAGAATCTGTATTACATAATGCCAAAGTGAACCTCTTATTTTATCTTCTGTTTGGACAGAAATTTAGGTTTTCAATTGCTAAACATGGAATTTGCCATTTTACTCATATTGGGGGGGGGGGGGGGGCTTATCATTTTGTGAGAGCAGTGCTCACAGTACCTCTAGTTTTATAAATCTTTTTTGTAGGTGAGATTTATTGTGTACATGTATCTTTGATATTTTTTTCCTTCAGAGTACTTTGTTTGCAAACAGTGACTTGTTTGATGCTGAAAATGATGAGGAAAATTCACAAGGTCAGTATTAATGCATTGTACTCCTCTTCATACAGTCAAATTACCTATACTTATATTTGTGTTACATTTAATGTAATGCTGGAGAATGTTGTAGGAGTAAACAACTCTGTCAGTGACAAGGAAGATAACTCTGAGAGTGACAGTGGAGATAACTCAGATAGCAGCAGGGAGGGCAATGAAGATGAAGGATTTGATGAATCATGTTTGGATCCAAAATTACTAGCAAAATTGAAGAAGGTACACAGTTATGTCACTGTGTTTTTAAGTAGCTCTCCCCTCCTTACCGAAAAAAGTTTAGAATTGCTCAAACTGTTGCATTCCTTCAAGAAAATAAATTCCAAACACCTTCAGATAATGCTTTTGTTTTGTTTGTGGTTTTAAAGTACATGTACATTAACAAACTGAATTTATGAATTTTGAATATTTAATAGGGTGCTGCAAAAAAGCCCACTAGAAAGTCAAAAGAAAAATCGAGGAAGGATGAACTTTTGGATATCCACAGTGAAACTCAGAGAATTGTCAGAGGTAACCAATTCCATGTAGACTAGTGTGTCATAGAATTCAAAGAATTTTCAGAAGTAACATACCTGTGTATGTAGACATTTCTTAAAAATATTGATGTTCATGTAGAATACTTAAACTCCGAGCATTGTATTACACAATATATACATGTACATCTATCTATTATCTTGGTTCAATATGGTAAATTATTGAGAATAACAAAGTGTAAAATCATTTTTTTTAAAAAAAGAAGATATATAGCAAAGAATCTTATTGCATCACATGTGCTTCTCTAGTAACAGGTAATTTGTTCTTCAGAGAGTAGAGTAAACTTGCCCTATCACCAGCCAGAACCCAAACCTCTGTCAGCTTTTTTGGCCAGAGCTTCCAGAAAGCAGGAACTATACAAAAGTTTGCACAATACAAGAGATATACAGTAAGAATGAACATACACACTGACAAATTATAGTAAACATGTACTTACCGTATGTATGCAAGGAAATTTAATCTAAAGTAACTTTGTAAATATCAAACTTCACAATATTTCTAGTAAATGTGCTTTACTATGATTTTTTTTACAGTAAGGCCAGGATAATGCAGCAGACGTTTGAAAAGGACAAAACAAGTAAACAAAGTGAAGGGGATAAGACTCTTCAGGGCACTTCAGAAAAGATTTCAGAAATCAAAGCAACAGAGGAATCTGAGAAAATAGAAAAAGACACGGAAGAGATAATTAGTGTGAATGAAAATGTGTCAGAAGATATCAATGAGAAACATTCATCTTCTGAAGTCCAGTTAGGGGACATTGATCTTCCAGATCTGGAGGAAAGAGAGAAAGAGGTCGAGGAAAGGTTGGGCCAGAAAGACTCCCCCCAACCAGTGAAAGCCCAGTCTAAATTGGCTCACATAGACAAAGAAGTTGCTAATTGTGAAAGTTCAGTAGAATCTGAAGGTGCCATTTCAAACACTCAATGTGCTGATTCTATAAAAAGTATAGAAAAACAGTCAGCTAAATCCAAATTAGAGGAGCATGCTTCAGAGGCAAGGACAGAACACACCATAACTCATGAATCAAAGTTGTCTTTCTTGCTGGAACCTGACTTGCCACATATGTCAGCTATTCCTAAGTTAAGTGGGGGACCTGATGCTGTAATCAGTTTAGATAAAGAGGAAGAGGAGGAACCACAAAACCCGGGGGTCAGGAAGCTTATGGGGAGGTTTATGGACCATTGTAAAAAGAGGATGAAACATGTCAACAAGGATGTTGATATAAGGTAAGTTCTAGTGTAGGGGATTCCTGGCTTTTTGAGGGAAAGATTCCTAACCATTATATTTTTTGCAGATATGAAGCATATTTTTGAAACTGCTGACTTAACCTTAGAACTACTTGATATTGTAATTTTTCCATTAGAATTGTTGAAAAAGATAAGGATGAACTCCACATGAAGACTTTCACCTATCATCCCACACAAGAAGATGAGAATTCTCTCCAAGCTATGGATGTACCAGGTAAACAGATAACAAGTATAACACTTTACTTACCTGTTATGTCATCAGAGTAAATTGTACGGAAAGGTAAATGATAATGGTTTTTCAGGAGCAAAACTCATGGCCCTTAAAGAGAAGCTTCAAGAGAAAATGAAAGTAAAACGAGAGGAATCTAGGAAGCAGAGGCAGGATGTATACGACCTTGACAATGAGGAAGGTTACACAGCAGAGGATGAGGATGCCATCTTAGATGACGATGATGAAATGTCAGAACACTCAGACACTGATGTAGAGGATGATGAATTTGATGAAGAGTTTGGTGAAGATGAGGAGATGGAAGTGGAAGAAAGAGATAAAGAGGTCTGTTTTGATTGGAGTGAAAATAGATCACAGAGGCTCTCAGTACATTGATTCATGTGCTTTCAGTTGCAAACTCTTTAATTTTTGAAGCAATAACTGTTCTGATTTAGAAATATTAAAAACAGCAAATTATTTTCAAAACCCTTTTTTCACCACTCCCACATCCTCAAGATAGTGGAAGTTATGTATATACATGTATATCTGTGTGAATGTGTTGAAGGGAAAGCTCTGCCTCAGGGTTGAGGTTGATACACGACTGAAGGCTAATAGACTGAAGTAATTTATGATTTGGTTGAGAATATCTTGACAATTACAGAGAAATCCCTTTGCGGATGATGAGGCAGAAGAAGATGATGGAGATGAGGAGGAAGGCTGTGAAAGTGATGAGGATGGTGATAATCTAAAACTTCATCTGTCAGATGAGGAGGAGGAGGATAATGTAGGAGATAAGACAGGTGAAGAGGATGAAAAGGGTAAGCAAAATAGGATTGATAACTTGAATCCATGCATACTAATTATGAAAAAAAATTCTCAAATAAGCATAGAACAACACCTTGCTTATCAACTTTTCTAGACCAAGCAGTACAAATCAAATCATCAGCAAAGATAAAGAAACCCCGAGTTTTACAGATAAGTGATGATGAAGAGAGCAGGGATGTCTCTGAGGAACAGGAAAAAGCCAGTGAAGTGGGGCAAAGTGGACCAGATCCAACTGAAGAAAAAGCACAGGAGAACAAAATTGATGATGAAAAGGGTCTTTTTAAAGAACCACTTGATGATATGTTTGTCCCTTTCTCAAAGCATGGTTCACTGGCAACACAGGCACAGGTATTCCTGATTTTATGATAATGCATTCATTAATCATTGTATTCAGAAGTAGCATTGTATTCAGAAGTAGCAGTAAGAATTTCAGATTGAAATATTTTCGAGTCTGCAAGATAAAGGATTAGTGAATCAGGACTTTTTCATCCTTAATGTAGCAAAAAATTATGATTTTGAAAATGTGGGAGCCCTTTAGTAATCACATTGTCTGTCTCTCTGTCTTTCCCTCAACACCTCTGTGATAACCTGATAACTCAAACAGTTGTCAAAATGTTTTCAAATTTTTCACATACATGTAAGTACTTCAGCATAAGAGCAAGTTTTGAGGTCATTTCACTTTGTCTGTCATCAAAACGATGAGATGTGATAAGTAACTTGCTAGCAGAACCCATATGAGACAGTGGGCATTAATTCAAAGTTTTTTGGTGAGTCTTTGTGACTAATTTAACAACACTCCCTTGAAACCTTCACAAGCATTTGACCCCCCTAAAGAAAGACTGGAGTTTGTTATTTATCTAAGCCTGTTTTACAAATAAGCTAAAGGATCCTTTGATAAATACATGTTTCTGGTTATAATTTGTAGATAAGTCTACTAATACAATAATATCACAAGGATTATTTGTTAAATACTACAATATTTATGTATACCACAATGTTTTACAGGAATTAAAGAGGACCAGCAGCCTGATACCCCCCGTGGAGGACTCCCAGGATCTTTATGGTACTCTCCCAGCCATACCATCTACCTGTATGGACAGCCAACAATCCCAGACTCTCAATTTTTACATTGAGGAGTCCCAGTCTAGGATGTTTGATAATGATGGGTAACTTTCCTTTTTTTGTTTCAATATAATGTTACCAGTTCCCTTTGATGCTGTTATTAATCTGTACTTACATGTATATGTTTTCAGAATTGAATGGAGAAAATGTACAAGTATTTACCATGGAATGCAGCAATTTCTATTAGAGGATTTTTGTCTTGTAGGTTTTTACGCACAGGTTCGACAGCCAAGAAACCAAAGTCTAAACCCTTCATGAGTTTTGATATGGACTCTTCACAAGAGAATTATGATGAACTGCTTGATTTATGTTCAGGGAGATTCCAAGGTTTGCAGCCTGTCTAACTCTGTATTAACTCTGATCTTTTCTTTAAAAAAGTGCAGTTTGAATACATTATAAAAAGATATGCATTTAGCCCCATGTACATGTAAATGAGAAAAGTACACGATCATTTAATCATTTGAAAGAGAAGAGAAAATATGAATTTTCATCCTATTCTTTTCTCAAAGTTAATTACTGCATCGAATTGACCTCTCAAGAGTGGTACAGTTAGTATAACATGTACTTTGACCTCTTTTTTTTTTAAATCAGAAGGTGATAAGAAAGGTACCTGTAAGCAGCAGTTGTTTGGGACACAGACAGACACCCAGAATAACATGGAGCAACTGATGGGACTGTGTTCAGGAAAGTTCATTGAGAGGTGAGAAAAACTCTGAAAATGACACAGATTTCACGTAGGATTTAGTCTGCATTTTATACATGAAAATAATTTTTAGCTTATTTTGACAGAGTAGAGATAAACAAATGTTACACTTGGTAGGCTTTTCAGATTGAAGTTTTGAGCAGTTCCAGGTCCTACCTTGACCAAACTTGCACCTATGATATACTAGTACATGTATCTAGGGATGAATAATATCAGACTTGCTGCTGCTGTAGCTGGTGCATCTGGTCTATATACATGTATTTACTGGATGATTGAACAGTATAAAGTATTTGGGAGTAGGTTCATATAAGTATTTATAAGTCATACCTGGACCAGATGGGTCTATGAATGCAACACCACCATACATGTTTCTGATGTTCAAAGTAATAAACATACAGTAAAACTTGTCTAATCCGGCGACCAGTAGTTCCAAAATTTTTGGCCAGATTAGACAACATCCGAATTGGAGAAAATTGAACCACTATAGCAAGTAAAAAATTACATAGATATAAACAAAGAGTGGTAAATAAATACTTGATCAAATGTGTCACTTTTTACGTTTCACTTGAAAAAACAGTATTTCGTTTGTTTTTCTTGGAATTTTCATTTCTGTTTAAACTTTTTTATTCAGTAATGAAATGTAATATCTCTTGGTCATTTATTAATTAATATTTGAAAATCGTTAAATGTTTTACACATACGCTAAAACCTCATCGTAGCTGTAAATATTATTTTGTTAGGGACAGATTCCTAATTCATTAATTTCTTTTAAAATTAATATGTTTGAATATTTTGACACAGTATTTGTTAATTTCAAATGTTATTATGAATATTGGACCAAAATCTTCTGTCATTAAGGTAGTTGTAAACTAGCGACACAAAGGGAGGTAATTCGAATTGCACGTCGTGCACGCAAAACGAAAGTAGAAAGGAGGTCATGAATAAGTCTCCCAAGTTTTTCTACGGACAGGCTACATGCAACCATCACTATCACTCGTTCTTTTTCGAGTTTCCTCGCCTTAATTGAGCCATTAATGATTTTTTTAACGCGTTTGTTAAAATCCAAACTGTCAATACAGGATAGATCATTAATGGGACAATAATTACCCCACGCGAGACCTCTCTAATGACCAGCGGGCACAGGTAAAAATGAGTGGCCGGATTAGGAGATAATTTGTACTAATTATGAGCAGTTAGTTCTTTAAATAGCGGCCGGTTTACAGAATAGGCAAGATCCGGATAGAACAACATTTATTAAACATAAATTATAAAGAAAATTCATGGGACTAAAAAATTACGCCGGACTGAAAAACATGCCGGAATGCACAACATTCGGATTCAACAAGTTTTACTGTACATACATTTTGTAGACAAGATTCCAGATTAAAACGTTGACATAGGTCCTTTTCTAAGTACCTACATTTATATGTACTACTATAACCAAACTGGCAAGGATGGTGCATATTGAGGTCCTACTAACTCCCTTGCTTAAGCTATAATGATGAATTTACATTGATGCTTTTAGGATACAGATGACTTGCCTTACTTACTTATTTACCATTAGTTTAATTGAAAGGTTAAAATTTCAAATTACATCTGCGTAATGCATCAGATTGAACATTTCATTAGTATAAGACTGTCTCACTTTTACATGTAGTATACATTTATTTGGGTATATTATCTTTGATTTTAAACTTTTTAGTCAAGTTGATGTGGGGAAATCTCAGAAGACTGGTGTGAAGAGGAAATCTCCTGTGGATGAAGAAGAAGACAGCAGTGATTCTTTCAAACTTGTCAGTGACAATGAGGAGGAAGATGAAAATAATGGAAAGGTAATTGAAATACACTGTAGTATTGTAAACTTTATAAATGTTACGGAATAATTATTTTGATGAAAGAGATTGATGTTGGTTCAGTAAATTTATTTTTAACTATAAGAGAATCCTTAACTTCCTGGAAGAAAACCACACTGGATTTGATGTTTTTAAATTTATATTGATGAAAGAATATTCCTTTAGAATGTATTCAGTGATGATGAGAGAATTGAGGAAGAGGAGGGATCAAGGGACAGTGAAGGACCTCAACAGGACAAGTTTAAAGGGTTTACCATTGCCAACAAACACGGGTGTGTAGAAAACATTTTTTTTCATTTTCCCCCCTAAATATATATAATTTAATTCTGGTTGTAACACACCATTTGATTGGATTGAAAAATTAGTTTGTATTGTGGAATCTGTGTTACCTATGTCTCAATTTGACTTTTGCCCAAAAATTTTCAATCTGTTTGATATAAAAATTAAATTTGTACAATTTGAAGGCATTTTTGAAGAGAAATTATCTTATTTTATTAAACTTAGTGAGGAATAAATTTAATAGCTAACCAAGTTACTTAAACTGGTATAGCCTGGGTTGGAACAGTTAAGGCTTTTTTATAAACACTTTATGGTTTATAAAGCATAAATTCTCCCAACCGTGGTTATACTGTATAACTTGGGTAGCTATTAAATTCATTCCAAACAACAGGTGTACTTTTAATGGTTGATTAAAGGACTTATCGCATGTTTCTAAACTATTTGAAATTAAAAGCATAAAACGTTCCTTATGACCACAGAGTATAAATTTTGTGTTTTTACTGCGGATAAACCGCGGTAATTAACCAATAATTGACTCAAATGAAAACCCCTGAATTAAAAATCTAAGTTAATTAGATAGCGATCACGTGACCCTGTGACATCAAAGGCGACAATGGCTGATCAGCTCTTCACGTAAATCTTACTAAAATATACGCAATACAACCTGAATTTTCTGCGTTATGGACGACCAAATCACTGATTTTATCGATATGAAATTTAATGTCCAACCTTATATTTTAGAATTGTCAGCAAGAAATAATCTGAAAAATCCGTTAACATTGTAAAAATAGCAGCGACGATAGCGAGGGAGATGCGGCGAAGATGAAGAAACTCACCATCACAATACAATTTGATTTGTCATTTTATCACATGTATTAACTTATTTGAATCACAAATTTAATATTACATAACTTTGTTATTCTTCCTTTTTAACATAATATTAATTTATGCAAGTATGCTTTCATATGTATTGTAAAGGATGGCGGTCTTGAAAAATAATTTTCCTCCGATCACGAAACATTGCTGTAATCAGACCTACAGATTCTAAATGTTTGGAATAAAAAACGAAAATATCTCAAAATTCTTATACCTTAGAACTAGTTAATGTTTCTATAGTAATTGAAAATCACGTTAGGAATTAATTTTTTCAGCATTTTTCATAATTAAGCTGCATTTGTCGTTGATAACTTCGTAAATAGTGTGCAACTTCTGATCTCTCTATCACTGAATTGTCGCCTATGACGTCAGAGCAATATTTAGCCGAAATTCGACTGAAATATGCATATTGCTGTATTTGAATTTCAACTCTCAATATCTCTTAAAATATGCTTTCAACAACGTTTATTGTATTCAGAATTTTAATAAACAAGGTTCTAGATAATATTTTTCATAAAATTAAGATTTTGAAAAATTATGCGATAAGTCCTTTAAGGTTCAAAAATATAAAACATAACCAAGCAAAGCATATAAGAGCCAATAAACTGCCAGGGATTTATAAACAATTTATTTTTGGTGTAAATGTAAATTAATAACAATGAGTGTTCTATGAACAATGAATCTGTAGGAATCACTTCATTATCATGATTGATTAGCAGCAGAGGGTGTCAACTTAGAAGAGGAGAAGAAATACAAAGAAAGAAATCTTGTTTTTCTTGCTTAAAGGGATAAGCATGCATGCATTACTAAAATAAATTAATGTAGATATTGTTGTGAGCTATTAGCAAGATATATGTAAAGTTGAACTTGTAGTTTATAAGATAAACATATAGTCAACTGAAAACTTGTCAAGAGTGTCTGATAATAGATTTCAAGTGAGCAAAAAAATTATATATTTCTGAACTTCTTTAAAAGCTTTCATAGTATTATATTTTTAATGGTTTTTGCAGAAGATAAAAAAGGACTGATTTAAAAAAGAATTAATCCTCTTGAAATAGTTATAAAATGTTATATAAATTCCAATATTAATGTGGAGTACCAAAAGTTAATGTTTTCCTTGAACACTCTACTGGCTCAAGTAAATGTTCAGAGATTAGTGAATGTACATGTACATGTAGATCAGAGGAGTGATACAAAATATGTGCAATTTCCACTTCTGATTTTAAATTTTATGTTTCCCTCTCAACAGGAAAATAAGACGAGAATTCGTTGAAGCAGAGGCTGAATTATCAGGTCAGATAAATTGAAATTTTGAGGAAGTAAATGCTGAATTGTGTATTCTGTGGAAGTTTGTCTGAATCATGCATCAGCACACGTACTTCAGATTATATGTTTATTGAATCTATTGCAGGAAGTGAGTATGATAGTGATGAAAATTTGGACCTTGCTGAAGAGGATGACATTTTAGAGATGGAGGAGGGAGACAAAGATGAAGTGGGCACAGAGGAGGAACTGAGGAACCAAGTGGGCAGGGCTCACCTGTAAGTTAATTCTGAGTTGTACTCGACCTTTGACACTCAGCTGACATATTTCTGAGTTTTTATTTATATGATATACTGGCAACTTAAATTGGAAAGAGAAATTCTTTTTTTAATGTCCAGAACAAAGTTGCAATAAAAATAAAATTTGCTCGTATGGAAATTATGGGTAAAACTTTTTCTGTGTTTTGAAGAGTTGATTTATTGTATTCATTTTATATTCTTTTAAAGAAAACAAGTTATAGATGAAGACAAGAGAGAACTAATCAGATACCAAGAAATGTACCTACCTGATGGTGACCTTCACAGTGAAGGTCAAGGTCGCATCAGGAGGTTTAAGTGGAGTAACATAGGTATGTATTGTTTATGAAGTTCAGGGCTTGCAAATTGATGTTAAAAGCTTGGAATTTACTCTTGAGAAAGTACACCTTTTAGATGTCTGCATCAGATTGTTATGCATTCAGTCATAAAAGAAATGCTCTGTTAATTTGCTGTTGTTAGCAGAGTGCATGACCACTCTCTTCACCATATTTTATTGGAGAAAATTCAATTTTGTAGAAAAGGATGTATTATAAGCAATTGTAATATTATTTTACTACGTGTATTGCAACTTAATGAATAACACAACAAAGACATTTTTTGCAATTAAAATTCAGACATTTATCATCTTACAACTGACTGTTGACCAACGACAATTTTTATTAGGTCACCTGAGTCACTCAGGTGACCTATTGCTATCCGTTTTTGTCCGTCGTCGTGCGACGTGCGTCGTGCGATGTGCGTTAACATTTGAACATTTTTAGCTTCTTCTCTGAAACCGCTCAACCAATTTCAACTAAATTTGGCATATAGCATCTATGGGTGAAGGGGAACAAAAATTGTGAATTTCATGGTCCCTGCCCCCCTGGGGCCTGAGGGGTGGGGCTAAAACCACCAAAATTAATGCAATCTTTAAAAATCTTCTTCTTTACTCCTGGACATCAAGCAGTCAAACTGTTGGCATCATTGTAATAAGCATTGAGTCCTCTACCAAAATTGTGAAATTCATGGCCCCAGGGTCAGGGGTTCTGGTGCTAGGGCGGGGCTATATAGATCATATAGTGAAAGTGCATTATTTCTTTGAAAATCTTCTTCTCTGCTCCTGGGTATTAAATAAACTAACTAAGTATATAGTTATGATGAGTAAGAGTGACTCTTCCAAAATTGTGAAATTCATGGCCCCAGGGGCAGGGGTTCTGGTGTTAGGGCGGGGCTCTATTGATTATAAAGTGAAAATGCATTAGTTCTTTGGAAATCTTCTTCTCTGCTCCTGGGTATTAAATAAACTAACTAAGTATATAGTTATGATGAGTAAGAATGCCTCTTCCAAATTGTGAAATTCATGGCCCCAGGGGCAGGGGTTCTGGTGTTAGGGCGGAGCTCTATTGATTATATAGTGAAAATGCATTAATTCATTGAAAATCTTCTTCTCTGCTCCTGGGTATTAAATAAACTAACTAAGAAAATAGTTAGGATGAGCAAGAGTGCCTCTTCCAAAATTGTGAATTTCATGGCTCCTGGGTGAGGGGTTCTGGTGTTAGGGCGGGACTCTATTTATTATATAGTGAAAATGCATTAATCCTTTGAAAATCTTCTTCTCTGCTCCTGGGTATTAAATTCAGTAATTAAGTACATAGTTATGATGAGCAAGAGTGCCCAAAATTTTGAATTTCATGGCCCCTGGGTCAGGGGCTCTGGTGTTAGGGTGGGGCTCTATTGATTATATAGTGAAAATGCATTAATTCTTTGAAAATCTTTTTCTCTACTCCTGGGTATTACTGAAACACATTAAATACATAGTTATGATAATCAAGGATGCCTCTTTCAAAATTGTGAATTCATGGCCCCTGGATCAGGGGTTCTGGTGTTAGGGTGGGGCTCTATTGATTATAAAGTGAAAATGTTTTAATTCTTTAAAAATCTTTTTCTCTGCACCTGGGTATTATTTAAACAAACTAAGTACATTGTTATGATAAGTAAGGATGCCTGTTCCAAAATTGTGAAATTCATGGCCCCGGGGACAGGAGTTCTGATGCTAGGGCGGGGCTATATAGATCCTATAGTGAAGGTGAATTATTTCTTTGAAAATCTTCTTCTCTGCCCCTGGGTATTGCTTAAACAGACTCAAGTACATTGTTATGATACACAAGGATGCCTTTTCCAAAACTGTGAATTTTATGACCCCAGGTTTAAGGGTTCTGGTGAAGAGGGGGGGGGGGGGGGGGGCTTCTATTGATTATAAAGTGAAAAAGCAAAATTTCTTTGAAAATATTCTTTTCTTCTTCTGGTTAAGAAAGCAAAGAAGCTAAGTGTATAGTTATGTTGAGCAAGTGTGCTTCTTCCAGAGTAGTGAATTTCATGACCCCTGGGTCAGATGTGCTGGTGTGAGGGTGGGGCTCTTGATAATTTAGGGAAAATGCTTTAATTCTATTAAATAATCCTGTTTGCTCCTTAGTGTTAAGCAGATAAACAAAGTGATTAGTTATGATGAGCAAACATATGGTCCCAGGGTCAGAAGTTCTGGTGTTTTGGGGGTGGGGGGTTGGGGTTGGGGGCTCTATTGATAATACAGTGAATCTGTAGTAAAAATGCATTATTTATTTAAAAATCTTCTCCGCACCTGGGCATATCTGAGGCAAACAGAGTAAAAGTTTTTATAAGGAAGGGAATTTTTACCAGATTTTTGAACATCTGGACCATTTGGTCAAGTGTTCTGGTCCTGGCCAGGGCTCTATTAGTTTGTATTCTACTGAGAGGAGTTATTCCCCTTTGCCATTTACTTTTGATAATTTATCACTGTAAATAATGTACTTGAAAGGTAAATAGAATAAGAGAATTATGCAAAAACTTTTATTGTATAATACAAAAAGTACTTTCATAGTTTTAATGATCAGATAGACTTGTAAGTAGTAGATAAATAAAAATGAGACAAAAATAACTTGTCTTATTAAATATTCATCAAAGACCAAGAGATGCCAATGTAAGAGATTTCAACAAAGGATTAAAATAGTACAGAAGCACTGATAATTTGTTAATATACTGTATAGTGATAGTGATAAATGGGGAACAGATTAGAACCTAATTTATGAACTGTTAATGAATATTAAGACCAATTACCGTATTTGGCCGAATATAATACGCATTGGTGTAAAATACGCACCCCCCTTTTTGAGCCTGAAACTGGGGGAAAAACGCAGTTTGGTTGTATTATACGCAGCAGAAAATTTTACCAAGCGGTGTTCTGAACTTTTTAAAATCGCGGTAATTTGCTATGAAAATCGGCGCGGAGATAAAGTGCCGAAAATTTACAGAACACGATATTTTATTCAAATGCGTTTTTATTCTTTAATCTTGACTTTCCATATCGCGGCAATCTGGAGGAAATTATTTATTTTAACAAAGCACGAGATAATGTTGCATTAAAGTATTAACAGAGTTTATTATTATTTTTTTTTTTTAGCAAACGGTGATATTAAATTATACGTCGCCGTATTCTAACTATTCTTTGTGGAAATAATTTTATTTCAACAAAGCACGAGATATTGTTGCAAGTTTAACAGTTGTCATATTTATTTTTAGTTTAAGGTAATCATGTTGAAAATTATGTAAATTTAACAGGGCAAGCGATATTGCAACATCAAAGTATTCAAAGACTACGATTTTCCTCTTTTGAACTTGAAATTAATTAAATAAATAGCTGTTGTTATAAAAATAAAATCAAAATTTAACAAGCGTATAAAGTGTAGTCATCAACACACCTCCGAAGCTGTGAAAAATGATGTACAAAGGTGGGATATATGTCTTCATACATCGAGGTAATCTTCGTGGATATCTTATTTTCTACAGAGCACGAGTAAATGATAAGCTTAAGTTTCAACATACTTCATATTTCCTTTTTTAACTCTCAAACATTTTAACACGAGGCCGATATAAGATGTAAAATTACATTTAACAAGCGTTTAACTGTTTAATGTGTCGTAATCAACACACGCTTATACATACGAAAATTCATAAACCAACCCCCGATTTTTAACAAAGAAAATAATCAAAGCCATTAATAAGGGCAGTAAATAATCAGTGCTCTAACTGTAAAAACAATGCTTTGGAGTCCGTAAACAATTGAATTGCATGGAGGGGTGTTGAGGTAATTATCAAGTGACAAGCGCACGTGTTCACAACATTGGCTTCCATTCATTGGGACGTATAGAGGGGTGTTTATGTTGAAATGAATTTTCACTGAGTTATTTAAAACCTAAAATAACATTTTATTTTATTGTATTTCATTAAAAAATGAAATGACTTATTACTTTTTTGACCGAGTGTCTGACTGATAAGGTACATGTGTACTATGATTACGGAAGCACGTGGCAAAGGAATGTGTGAACATCTATAAATAACATCGTTAATGGCGGCCTACACGGAGACGATGAACATGCAGCTCAAATTAATTTTAACTTGCTTTTAAATTTAATTTAACTATCAAAAGGTTATAAATATAACATTTTTAACAAGTCTACATTCCAACAATAACTTTCCGAAGTTTTAAATACGGCGATAAACAGCAAGAAATTGCACAAGTCTCTAGGTAATACTACGGTATGTGCGTATGATAGCCGTGTTTCACATGAAAGAAAAACCTATCAAAATCCCATTGTGGTGTAAAATACGCACCCCTTTCTCACAGAAAATTATTTTGGGAAAAAAGTGCGTATTATATTCAGCCAAATACGGTATTTTGTTGATCATGATCACCCTATTTTTCTTGCTTTTGGGCAACAAAGCTTCACCTTTCAGTTCATTTTATACTCTATGCATCCTTTAAATTGTTGTATCATACTCAGGTGACCGTTAAGGCCCTTGGGCCTCTTGTTGATGAATGTGATAACTTTCAGATGAAGGTACCCAGCAGGACATGTTTAACAATGATTCTGATGGGGAAAACATGGAAGAAGAGGATCAGGAAGTGAAATGGAGACAGGAGAGATATGAAAGAGAGAAATTTTTACAGGAACAAGAGGTAAATTCTTGTTGATTTTGAATTCTAATTATATTTTGTATGTGGAAACTCCTCCAAACACCCAAACCCATCCACCCCACAAGCAATTTGCTTAAAATTAATTGTTGATTTCCCAGACATCAAAGTGAACAATATACACCCATATATCAAATTTAATAATATGCATGTGTACACTTATAGATAATTGCTGAAGGTCTTGTATTTTTTTTATTTTGGTTTGGTGGGGGGGGGAGGGAGCAAATGAAAGAAGTGGTGAAAATATTTTATCACAAGTTTAAATTTTGAAAAATGGTCACATTGCTGTATTCAGTCTTTGTTTTCAACATAAACTAAGTCTCATAAATGTTGACATTCTGTAATAAAACAAAGAACGTAACTCATCATTACCTTGTCAGTTCTCAATATGCTGACCACGTTTATAAACCTGCCATGTTATATATTCCTTCTGCCATAGGTTTATGAAAGATTTAAAGTATTTATATAGAAAGAATGCTGTGGCCAATGTGTTTTTGGATTTTGTCTTTCAGGAGAAAGAAAGAAATGAAGAGGAAAATAGTCAATTCCTAAAATTTGGAAAAGTTTTCTTGAAGAGAAGTAGTATGTATTTTTCTTCTATAGAAAAAGGAAGGATTTCCTGTGTATTTATCATAATTTGGTAACAAATGTAAATTACATGTATTAAAAATTTGATTCAGTAAAACTTGGTTATAGCGAAGTTCTGGGGACCTACATGCATGTATTTATTTTGCCATATCTGTAATTCTATATATCCGTATAACGAATTCCTTAATGTATAGATTGCAAATTTGCAATACATGTATAGATTTTTTTTCATTCAAGCTTGACTACCAAATGTATTTAGGGAAGTATAAAATACAAAATTTACGTTGGAGTTCAATAATTTTTGGATGAATTGAATTTCAAATAATTCAATTTTGGTTGTAATGATGTATTTGATTGGATAAAAAATATATTTTATATTGTATAAAGTGGGTTGCCTACGTCACAATGACTTGCGTCAAAAACGTATCAATCTGCCTGACGTTACATTCAAATTTTGTACAAATTGAAATCATTTTTTAAGGACAATCATCTTTTTTTCTTACACCAAATGAATGAAAATAAAATTATAAGGAATGAATTTAATAGCTACCCAATTTATACAGTATAAACTGGGTTGGAACAGTTTACTCTTTTTTATAAACCGTTTATACCGTATAAAATGGGTAGCTATTAAATTCATTCCTTAAATATAAATACTCACAAAATGAATGTCAGTTCAATATATTTAAAATTAAGATCCTTGAAAATTTGCTATAAAAGATGAAATTTCGCTAATTTTAACTTCTAGTTCGCTATAACCATAAATTTACAATATCCGAGTTCGTTATGTAAAATTTTATAGGAAATTGCAAAGAATTTTGCCAGGGATTGCAAAAATTTTTGGTATATCCATGTTTGCACTAAATGAGTTTTACTGTAGTTTAATTTTGATGTAAAATGTTTTGATTGAATCCAAAAATGTTAGATTAAATTTCTATGATCTACATGTATATTTTGGTCTGATTAGTTTCAGAAACTGGGGCAGTCAAAAAGGCATCCTCAGAAAAATTGATCAACACAGAGAATGGAACACAAATGACAGCCAGTACTATTTTTAAGTCAGCAGTAAGTACTAAGTTCTCAATCTTAGTGTGATTGATGGTAAATTTTGAGGTATTCAAGGGTTTGGTTTAATGTATGGTTAGATACTATTTAACAATATTTGTTCTGCACAAGGACATTAAATTAGAATAGAACTAGAATAACAAGAAAAAAAGGGAAAGCCAAAAAAAAAAAAGATTCTTAATCATTCCAAGTACAAGTTATAGTAAGAAAAGCACTTGTAGATTTTGACTTACCATTTATTACAGCAAGGACAAGGACACAAACAATATTGTGTTTGATAAAGACAAGTGCACTCTGCAGTAATAAAAACCTTTACAATGACCCTGAAAACAGCACTAACAACTCCTTCAGTGGCAAAGTCACTGATAAATATTTTTAGCTCACCTGAGCTGAAAGCTCAAGTGAGCTTTTCTGATCACCCGTTGTCCATCGTCCGTCCATCTGTCTGTCTGTAAACTTTTCATATTTTCAACTTCTCAAGTACCACTGGGCCAATTTTAACCAAACTTGGTACAAAGTATCCTTGGGCAAAGGGGAGTTTAGATGTTAAAATAAAGGGCCAAGTCCCCTTACAAGGGGATAATTACAAAGAGATAATCAAGAAAAGACAAAAATAGGGTGGGATCATTAAAAAATCTTCTTCTCAAGAACCACTGGGCCAAAAAAGCTGAAACTTATGTGGAAGCATTCTGGGGTAGTAAAGATTCTAAATTGTTCAAATCATGACCCGGGGGGTAGGGTGGGGCCACAATAGGGAATCCAAGTTTTACATTGAAATATATAAGAAAAATCTTTAAAAATCTTCTTCTCAAGAACCACTGGGCCAAAAAAGCTGAAACTTATGTGGAAGCATCCTGGGATAGTGTAGATTGATTCTAAATTGTTCAAATCATGACCCCCGGGGATAGGGCGGGGCCACAATAGGGAATCCAATTTTTAGTGTCAAATTTTTGGTGTGCATCATGTGATAATCAACTTTGAAACACATTATAATGTTACAACTGCTTAAGTGAGCAAGCAGGGAGGGTCCACAATGGAGCATCGAAGTTTAACATGGAAATATATAGGATAAACCTTTAAAAATCTTCTTCTCAAGAACAGCAAAGCCATGATGAGTCATATTTATATGGAAGCATCCTCAGGTAGTGTAGATTTAAGTCTGTTCAAATCATGACCCCCGGGGGTAGGGTGGGGCCACAAGGGAGGAGCAAAGTCTTAAATAGAAAAAAGGAAAATATCTTCTGAAGAAGAACTGCAAAGCCATGATTTGTCATTTTGATATGGAAGCATCCTGAGGTAGTGTAGATTCAATTTTGTTCAAATCATGACCCCTGCGGGTAGGGCGGGGCCACAATGGGGGATCGAAAATTTTACATAGGAACATATAGGAAAATATCTTCTTCTCAAGAACTGAAAATCATGTTTAGTCATTTTGATATGGAAGCATCCTCAGGCAGTGTAAATTCAATTTTGTTCAAATGATGACCCCCGGGGGTAGGGTGGGGCCCAATGGGGGATCGAAAGTTTTACATAAGAACATATAGATAAATATTTCTTCTCAAGAATAGGAAAGCTATGTTTAGTCATATTGATATGGAAGCATCCTCAGGTAGTGTAGATGCAAGTTTGTTCAAATGATGACCCATGGGATAGGGAGGAGCCACAATGGGGGATCAAATTTTTAGAAAGGAATATATGGGAATTTTTTTAAAAATCTTCTAAAGTACAACAAAGCTATTGCCTACCCAATGTGCTCAGGTGAGGGATGTGGCCCATGGGCCTCTTGTTCTCATCAAAGTCTTGTGCAACTGAAGGTTTGATCTTAGCAGCTTGACACAGAACCCAAATTCAAAAGTATGCCTCATTCAGTTCTAAGAATTTAGATGTTAGAATCTGAAGCTTAATTTTTCCTGACTACATGTCTCTGCCATGTTGAATATGATCAGAGAGAAGGATTTGAAAGACCATGATTTGAACAAGTCTAACAGTATACTCGCAGCTCTTTATTGAATTGATCATTTAAGTACAGTAATTCAAAGTAATGTAGATTTAGTTCAAATATAAAGGGATTTCAGTGATTAAACATTGTTCCAGATGCAGAAAAAAGGTTCATTCCTTGGAAGGAACAAAGAAACTCTGGCTAAGATTGCTGAACTCACAAAGACAACTGTTAACCCCACAGGTCCTAGGAATTCCAGGAACTTTGTATTCCAAGTTATCTCCCCTGACAAGGACACAAATAAACAGGTATGTTGTTTAACTTTCATTTATTTAACATTGATATCAGAGAGTTGATTTAGCATGAGGATTCAATTTTGGTTCATGTATTTATCTTCTTGTAAAAATTGTAGAATGCAGTAAGTGGTCCAACTCAGGGAAAGGTAAGAAAAGCTCATCTACCAAAGCAGCATCAGCCAGCAGCTAAAAAACCCAGACTAGAGAAGTCATTGTCATTCCCTCAAAACAGCATCTTCAATCATATGTAGAAGGAGAAAGTGAATTATGAGAGAATTTAGACATAAAACAGAATTTTTTAATAAAATGTTTTTTGATTGATACATATTTTTAATGTATGCTTGAAAAAAAAAAGAAGGAATAGTAGAGGTTTATTGATTCTTAAAATAACGCCCACATGAGTATGTACAGTACTTCATTTGTAAAGATGATGAACTATGAAGCATGAGTGTTTTATTGTAAATATATACATGTATATTTGGTATTTATTGACTATATTTTTGTGTATGAGTGCTTTCATAGATGCATTTTATATATTTTTTTCACACAAGTCAAAAAATTTAAAAAAGATTTTTTTTTTTAATCTGAAAATCACCATTCATGTAATGTTTGCACTTGTATGAATTTTAGAATTTGTTCAAACAGTAAATTTATATTTACTTTCAGTTTCATAATGATCTCTGTTGTAAGATAAGTCAGTTTATTTACTCAGTTGTAGAAATAACTGGTATAAGGTGTGACAGTAGGTTATATGTTAACGAAATCATTTAAAATTGATTTTATGAGATATGTTTTTTTAAAAAAAAACCCAGACACGAAGAAAATAAATATTGCCAAAAAGATATTTTCAAATTTCTTTTCTTTCTTTTCCTTTTTTTTTTTTTTTAATGAAAATGGCAACAAAGAGCTACATTATAGGTTCACTTTTCCCATAAAATGGCCCTACCCATATACCAATTAACTGACCAAGACCCAATGTCCCATTTCAAACATCAATATAGAGTAGAGACTTGCTGCTTTCATTTCCTATAAAAAAGTTTCTTCTGAGAGTCCAGGTATTGGAAGAACAGGCTTTGTGAAAATGCAATGTGCTTGAATTTTGCAGAAAGTGGGTGCATTTGACTACCTTCAACAAAGAAATAAAATATGAGCACACCCCTCGATCCAAAATATAAAACAGTTCTTTCATTGTATAATTGCATATTTTGGATCAGAGGTTGGGATCTATGCAAGCTTAAACTTCTGGTCATTTTTGAAGAAATTTTCAGGATTTGAGGATAATGACACAATTCATGATGTCATAATACATGGACTAGCAAGAAAATTATGTCATTTTTTAGCTCACCTGAGCCAAAGGCTTAAGTGAGCTTTTCTGATCAAAATTTGTCCATTGTTGTCGTAAACTTTTCATCTTCTTCACCAGAACCACTACACCAATTTCAAACAAACTTGGCACAGAGTATCCTTGGGTAAAGGGGATTCCAGTTTGTTCATCCTCTTCCAAGGGGAGATTAAGAAATAATGAAAATTGGGTGGGGTTAATTTAAAAATCATCTCTAGAACCATTGGGCCAGAAAAAATGAAACTGGTATGAAAGCTTCCTGAGATAGTGTAGATTCATATTTGTTCAAATCATGAGCCCCAGGGGTAGGGTGGGGACACTATGGGTGATCAAAGTTTTACATAGGAATACTTAGAAAAAATCTTTAAAATTCTTCTTCTCAATAACAGCAAGGTCATGATTTGTCATATTTAGTTGGAAGCATCCTCAAGTAGTATAGATTCAAATTTGTCCAAATCATAACCCCTGGGGGTAGGGTAGGACCACTATGGGCAAAGTTTTACATGGGTATAGATAGGAAAAATCTTTAAAAATCTTCTCAAGAACAGCAAAGCCATGAACAGTCATTCTTATATGGAAGGCAGTCATAGGTAATGCAGAATCAATATAACTTATCATGGCTTTACTGTATATATAGAAAAAGAATTCTACAGATTTTCCCCATGTATTCCTATGAAAAACTTTGAGCGCCCATATTAGCCCCGCCATACTCTCCATGATCATCATTTAAACAGAATTGAATCTACGCTTGAATTCTTTTTTATGGGTGAAAACCTGTATTAAGTATTTATGAGACATTATTCTGGTGTATGCAGTATTTTTAGTATTTTTAGACATTGTGCTAGGGTTTCATTCTTACTGTTTTTTCTAGACCTGAAAAAAGATGTTAATCCAAGAATCAAAAGTGCACCTTATGCTGCCACAAAGAGCCTTAGTGTATTTGATAGGCATTTTTGCCTACTCTAGTAATGATTTCTTAAATACATTTTTAAGCCAAAATTTTGTCATACAGTATTAGTTTATACATGTGTAAATTCAAATTACACATACAGTCAAACCTTGTTATCTCAAACTTGAAGGGACGGAGAAAATACTTCGAGATAACTGAGGATTCAAGATATCCAGGGTACAATACTTAAGGAATATGCAGTTGGGACTTCAAAATCACTTCGACAAATCCATGGTATTTGAGATATCTGTGTTTGAGATACCAAAGTTCAATTGTATTTTTTTTTTCAAAAACATGATATTCATAAAATACAAGGGTTTGTCCAAAAAAGGTAAATAGACACAATATGTGGGAGTGTAGCAGGAAGGACAACTCTGGGTAGAGAAGGCAAGATTTTAATAATTGTGTTCAATATCATATATCAAATTACCAATTTAATATTTCTTTGAGACTGAGCTACTCTTTGTATAACAATTTCAATTTAATTTTGTAATCTCAATCATGTTAATCTTTACTGCTCAAGGCTAAAGTTACCTGCCAGTGGTCTGTTGTGTGCGTTCTTGAAAGCAAGAAAAATTTCTCCTGGACATATACATTTCATACCCTGAATTCACTCCTTGTCATGTATTAAGGGACTGATCTGTATGCATTAAATAAACAAAGGAAATGATTTGCCTTTGGTGCACACAAATTTTATTAGGTGTATCTGAAAACATACTTTCCCCCTTTAAGTAATTACATGTACCTATTATTTTTTTATTTGAAAAACAAAAAATGGCATGGCACCACATGAACTCTTGAATACAGATATCTCAAATACCATAGCTGTGTCAAAGTGATTTGGAAGTCCCAACCTGTTATTCCTTTAGTATTTTACCCTTGATATATCGAATCCTCGGATATATCGATGTTTTTTCTCAGGCCCATCGAGTTCAAGATAACAAGGTTTGACTGTACTTTACTTTTTAGCTCACCTGAGCTGAAAGCTCAAGTGAGCTTTTCTGATCACCCATTGTCCGTCGTCCGTCCGTCTGTCCGTCCGTCCGTCTGTCCGTCTGTCCGTCCGTCTGTAAACTTTTCACATTTTCATCTTCTTCTCAAGAACCACTGGGCCAATTTTAACCAAACTTGGTACAAAGTATCCTTGGGTGAAGGGGAGTGTAAATTGTTAAAATAAAGGGTCAAGTCCCCTTACAAGGGGAGATAATCAAGAAAAGACAAAAATAGGGTGGGGTCATTAAAAAATCTTCTTCTCAAGAACCACTGGGCCAGAAAAGCTGTAACTTATGTGGAAGCATCCTGGGATAGTGTAGATTCTAAATTGTTAAAATCATGACCCCCGGGGGTAGGGCGGGGCCACAATAGGGAATCCAAGTTTTACATTGAAATACATAAGAAAAATCTTTAAAAATCTTCTTCTCAAGAACCACTGGGCCAGAAAAGCTGAAACTTATATGGAAGCATCCTGGGGTAGTGTAGAATCTAAATTGTTCAAATCATGACCCCCGGGGGTAGGGCGGGGCCATAATAGGGAATCCAAGTTTTACATTAAAATACATGAGAAAAATATTTAAAAATCTTCTTCTCAAGAACCACTGGGCCAGAAATACTGAAACTTATATGGAAGCATCCTGGGGTAGTGTAGATTCTAAATTTTTCAAATCATGACCCCCGGGGGTAGGGCGGGGCCACAATAGGGAATCCAAGTTTTACATTGAAATATATAGGAAAAATCTTAAAAAATCTTCTTCTCAAGAACCACTGGGCCAGAAATACTGAAACTTATATGGAAGCATCCTGGGGTAGTGTAGAATCTAAATTGTTCAAATCATGATCCCCGGGGGTAGGGCGGGGCCTCAATAGGGAATCCAAGTTTTACATTGAAATATATAGGAAAAATCTTTAAAAATCTTCTTCTCAAGAACCACTGGGCCAGAAATACTGAAACTTATATGGAAGCATCCTGGGGTAGTGTAGAATCTAAATTGTTCAAATCATGACCCCCGGGGGTAGGGCGGGGCCACAATAGGGAATCCAAGTTTTATATTGAAATATATAGGAAAAATCTTTAAAAATCTTCTTCTCAAGAACCACTGGGCCAGAAATACTGAAACTTATATGAAAGCATCCTGGGGTAGTGTAGAATCTAAATTGTTCAAATCATGATCCCCGGGGGTAGGGCGGGGCCACAATAGGGAATCCAAGTTTTACATTGAAATATATAGGAAAAATCTTAAAAAATCTTCTTCTCAAGAACCACTGGGCCAGAAATACTGAAACTTATATGGAAGCATCCTGGGGTAGTGTAGATTTTAAATTGTTCAAATCATGACCCCCGGGGGTAGGGCGGGGCCACAATAGGGAATCCAAGTTTTACATTGAAATACATAAGAAAAATCTTTAAAAATCTTCTTCTCAAGAACCACTGGGCCAGAAAAGCTGAAACTTATATGGAAGCATCCTGGGGTAGTGTAGAATCTAAACTGTTCAAATCATGACCCCCGGGGGTAGGGCAGGGCCACAGTAGGGAATCGAAGTTTTACATTGAAATATATAGGAAAAATCTTTACAAATCTTCTTCTGAAGAACCTCTGGGCCAGAAAAGCTGAAACTTATATGGAAGCATCCTGGGGTAGTGTAGATTCTAAATTGTTCAAATCATGACCCCCGGGGGTAGGGCGGGGCCATAATAGGGAGTCCAAGTTTTACATTGAAATACATGAGAAAAATCTTTAAAAATCTTCTTCTCAAGAACCACTGGGCTAGAAAAGCTGAAACTTATATGGAAGCATCCTGGGGTAGTGTAGATTATAAATTGTTCAAATCTTGACCCCCGAAGGTAGGGCGGGACACAATAGGGAATCCAAGTTTTACATTGAAATATATAACTTAAAGAAAAATCTTTAAAAATCTTCTTTTCAAGAACCACTGGACCAATAAACCTGAGACATATTTGGAAGCATCCTGAGGTAGTGTAGATTCTAAATTGTTCAAATTTTGACCCCCGGTGGTAGGGCGGGGCCACAATAGGTATGTTAAAAGGGGGAAATCTGGTAAAGAACAGCATGGCCAAAGTTACTCAGGTGAGCGATGTGGCCCATGGGCCTCTTGTTTATTCCATAGAATGGACTCTGATTTTTAATGTTTGGTGATCTTCATTTATGTCAAGTAGTATTTGACTAGCTGTTGGCTACACCTCAGAAGAGTTTCAGATTTAGCCAAATGGTGTTACTCCGGTAGTCTCCATTTTGACTTATAATGAATTACACAACTGTATATTAATGTCCATTTAATAGGAGTTCCTAAGTTCTCTGCAATCACTGTGATAGTTAACTTGATTAAGTATCATGTGTCATTATCTTGGGTGGATCAGAATGCTCCAACTTTTGCTTGGTAGAATATTTTGACATTTACAATGGATAATACTTAGTCTTAACTGCTGTCATTATACAATGTGTAACCGAACCTTGACTGTTATGGTTATACAACATGTAACTGCATTGTCAAGTTTGAAATATGATCCAACATTGGTATCAGGCAAGTTTTTAGATAT